AAAAATTCAAATAAATAAAATTTTTCCAAGTTTTGTATTAAAAATTTTGGGCGGAAAAGAAAAATTAATAAAAAAATTAAATTAATGGTTTGTAGTTACTATTTAAGAATATAAATACTTTAAATAAATTAAGATGAAACTAAATTTTGACATTATTGATAGACAATAATTTGTTACAATACAATCGCTTATTTTATATATATTTTTACATAGAAAGAGCAACATCGAATTTGATAAAAATTATTTTAGTTTAGCTTACACCATATTTGTCAAAATGTATAATTACATCTTTTAATTTATAAGCGACAACCATTAATAACACAAAATTTAAGAATTAATTTTAAAAATGAAAGTATTTTTCGAAGTTAATAAAATAAGATTTTCATTTAAAAAAACAAAAATAAATCAAATTTTGGCATAAGGAAATTTCAAAGATTATACACCCCTTTTAAGTAAGAATCTTATGTTACTCTTTGTTTAAACATATTTTGCCCTAAAATTACTTTAATTAACAGTAGTCAATAAATAAATATATATGAAGTATGCAATAAATGTATAAATAATAAAATAAGTATGCAATAAATAAATATCATACACTTACTTGCCAATAACTTCACAAAGTTCATATACATCATCAAAAAGTATTTCATCATCAGCCATGATGAGAGAATAATATCCTTTGATTGAACAATTACATTAATAATTAAACAATAATAATAATAATAAAAAAGAATAAAATAAAAACTATAACAGATATTTAATAACTAAAACACTTCCATATAAACAAAAATTTTCTTATCAATTCACTTATCACTGAAACTTTTTAAACTAAACGAATCATAAAAAATAACATTACTTTAAACATATTTTTTAAAAAATTTCAAATGGATTTTAGAAAAAAAAATTGTTGTTAAAAAAAAAAAAAAAACAAAAGGGCGTGTCACAAATAATAAAATCATTCAAAGAAAAAAAAACACGTTAAGAAGTGAATTGCAGCACCTGAGAAAACCGGGCAGACGTAAACATGGCGGCTTGTACACATTACGAGCCAAAAACAAAAAATTACAAAATATTATACAATACAAATGCTTGAATGAATTTACTTTACATGAAAAATAATTTGAATATTAAAAAAATGAAAACCTTAAACGATAAACAATATTAAACGTCAAAACCACTCGATAACCCTTTGTGGTTAAAAAACACTAGAAATAACAAACAATCGACCATACCCTTAACTGCAAAATTTTACACTAACCTGCGTTTAATTTCATTGGTTAAAAATAATAACTTAATAAGTACGTTCAGAAATGTAAAAAAACTTTTTCCGCCAACATATTAAGTGTCGTGGTTTCAAACATTTTTTTTTTTTAATTCCTCTATGACTCTTAAATTGAATATTACTATAAATTTTAATTTTTACTATAATTTTGAATACAAAATAAAATACTAAACTCAAACAATAAAGCAAACCTTAAATAACCTAATTGAACCTTTTATCACTTAATTTAAAAATCAATCTTTATATACCTATTAGTTAGTTTTCAAACACAATTTTTTTAGTCATAACTTACATAACATTTTAAACAATGACTAAATTCTAATTTATACATAATTTCTTTTTACTAGTTTGCCTACAGAATTCGACTATATAATTAAATATAACTTCTAACTAAGAATAATATCAAAATGTTTTTTTCATTCATTAGGAAATTATTTTCATAAAAAAAAATAAAACAACAATAAATATTTTTTTTAAAGCTTTATTTACAAGCTTTTTAGATATGCTACATTAAAAATTAATATTGCTTTAAATTTAAAAATAACTAAATATATTTATGTATAATTAGTAATAATTATTAAAGACTAGATAAAAAATAAAAATAAAAATTAAAAATGATGAGTATCTGAAAATAAAGCAATAATTTTAATTTTATTTAAAATTAAAAAAAGTAACACAAAAGTGTAACAAAATAAAAATAAAATGGCGGCTGTTAATTTTTTTTAAAAAAATTTAAAGCTAACAATTTTTTTGTAACTTCTTTAATAATACATAAAATAAAGTTTTATTTAAGTACTATTGTACCTTTTTCTAAAAAAAAAAAAAACTTTTTAATTAACATAATTTTAATAAATAATGCCTATAATTTGTTTTGTAAATTGTAATAAGTTTTATGTAATAACAAAAAAAAAAAAAAACAAAGTTTCAAATCTACTTCTTATTTGCTATTTTACAAATTTTTATTTCTGATTATACAATTACTATTATTATTATTATTAATTTTTTCTTTTTTCTGAAAATTTAAATTTAATTTTCTCACAAAAAAATAAAAAAAATAAACAACAACCGTAAGTGTACAATATGTAAAATTAATAAATCAATCATTTATGAAAAAATTTAAACAAAATTAATTAAAATAAATTATTACAAGTTAAATAAAAGCATTTTTATTATGTTAGATTATTTTTTTATTTAAATATGTATGTATAATCTCTCTAACAATATTATTTTTAATAACCAGTAAATAAATATGCAATAAATTATTACTTTTATAAATTTTAAATGGCAATTTCCTGCATAAAAAAAAATTTTTGTAATTTTCTGAACAAAAAAAAATCAAATAATACACTTTTTACTAAAAACATAAATTACAATAATGTTAGTTTTCAAAATTTATTTTTTTATAAAATTAATACTTTATATATATATATATTGTGCTGGGTCAAAAAATAATAATATTATTTTTCATATATTGAGCCATATATGAACAGTCATACAAACAAAAATAACAGTAAAATTATTATAATTTTAATAAAAAATAAATTTTTATTTAATTTCCTTGTGGTAAATAAATACAAAAAAAAAACCTACTATTTTATATTAATTTGAATATTTTTCAATCTTTTAATAACCATTTTTAAAATTTTAACAAATTTATAATAAAAACTAATTAATAATTATATTTTATCGTGAACAAAATATATTTACAAATAAAAAAATTTTTTTTTTTTTAAAGCAAAGAAAAATTTCATTAAAATAATAATAACAAAAAAAAAAAAAAAAAATGGCGCTGAAATATGTAAAAAATAAAAAACTAGCACATTTTCATTACATCAAATTCGGCAATGGCTGCATATTTTTTCACATTATAAGTGTAAATTTATTTTGAAAATATAATTAAACTAAAAATTATTTAATTGTAATTTTTTTCAATAACACAAAAAACTAACATGAATTTCTATAAATATATTTTTTGTGATTTTTTTTTTTTTTTTTTGCTTATTTCCATTTATATTATTACAAGTTTTTCATCAATTTAAAAACAAATAAAAAAAGAAAAAAAAAATTTAAATTAAAAGCGTGAAAATCACTGTTGTTAATGGCGCTGTTTTTATATACTGCAGCAAATTTATTAAATATTTTTTAACTTTAACACATATAAATAAAAATAAATAAAAAAATTCTCCTCCTAAAAAAGCACCTTTAAATTTTTTTTTCTTTTTTTTTTCAACTGAATGGTAAAACAAATAACATTCAATAATAAAATTGTATTCGTTTAGCCATGCTTTCAAAATATTATTAAAATTTTCATTTTTTAAATGAAATTTAAATAATTGACACAAATCGGTTATTGTTATCAATCGCATTGTTTCATAATATTCACCGGTTTAATGGCCCTTTTTTCAGTCTTTTTTTTTTTTGAAAACCCCCATTAATATTATAAAATTTACAGAAGTTATTTAAAAGTATGACTATTTTAAATTACCACCGCGAAATAATGTAATTTAAAAAAAATAAAATGAAACTACAAAAAAAAAAAAGAAAAAAACAATAAATATTGTTAGTCGAAACAATAATTAATTGTTCCCAATTTTTACACGCTTATAAATTATAATTAAAAAAATGAGTATAAATGAATTAGAGGAATGAATGACGGAGGAGAGATAATAATAATAATAAATTAATCTAAAAAAAAGATTTGTTACTATAAGGCGTGTGAATATGTTTTGCGAAAGGTATAAACAAAAAATAAAAATATATATATATAAATAATTTTTTTTTTAATAATTACCAAAGCGCTTGAAATCACAACAGAAGAAGTTTCCCCGTGATGGAACTGACAACTTCCTCACGTCCAAATATGGCAAGTACTGTTACAGAATCTGGAGGAACCTCTGTACGACCAGCATCTTGTATTAAATAAGTGGGGAGATCCAAAGAAATGGCTTGCTTTTCAATTTGTTTTAAATGTGACATATCTTCTCCTCTAAGAACTATTTTTTTTTCGCTGAAAATAAAAAAACAATTTCAATTTTTAATATTATTTACTATTAATAATAATAATTTGTCAAGTTGATAAAACTAATCTTAGTTTTCTACTCAGTTCATACTAACAATGGATAAGTAAACTTATTTTTGCAAACTTACTTTACATAGAGTAATAAAACTTATAAAATATGTAACTTACCCTTCTTCTTCCCACATTAATAATTGATTTCCATAGCTTTTTTGGTTGCCAATAAGTCGTCGAAATAATCCTACTGATGCATGACCCACTTGGGCAGCAGTTTTTCCAATATTCATTCCAAGTGATGTATTCACAATAAATACCATTTTGTAATGGGGAACTTCTCCACTTTCGTCATCACTATCATGTACATGAGACCCTCTAGTTATTTCTTGCCTTACATTATCTGATTCGATTCTCATACAACTATCTAATTCTTCGTCCAAATCGGGGTTGTCAAAAACATAAGATGCTGCAAATTCAGCTGAATGATTTCCAGTGTAATATAAACCCTATTTAATATTTGAAAACATGCAAAAATTAACATATGTTTTTAATTTAAAAAAAAAAAAAATGTTACATTAAATATGTAAATGAAAAGTTGTACTTTAAAATTGAAATCGATTTTTGTATTTTAAAATATAATTTTATAAGATAATTAACACAGAATTTTTACAGCTGAAAATAATACAAATTTATTATTGTATTAAAAAAAAGTAAGCTTAACTTGCCTTAATTGCAGCATTTCTATCAATACCCATGGCCAACAATAATTCTAAACACTGCTCATTTGGTTTCCATCTAAATGCAGTACTATGTTGCTCATTTTCTTCACCACCTCCACTTCCCTGCCTTAATGCACTACCCCCTCCTGCTTCCATTTACACTATTGGTCCTGTTTTTTTTAATTCAATAGTAAAATCAACACCTAAAAACATAAAACGAATAAAAAAATTTTAACTTACCTTATAAGAATTACTCTCACTTGTAAATAAAAAAAAGTGCATGTTTTTAATAGTTTTATTTGTACGTTATTATTTTTAGAAAAAAAATTTACAGTAAAACATATATTTAATATTTAGTATTTATTCAAAAATTTTTAATTAATGTAATAAATGATAAATTAAAGGCCTTTATTAAAATTAATACAATCGCATTAAATTAAAATAAAAAAAAAGTTATTATTAGCGGTGAAAAAATTGGTAGTTGTTTTTAACTTCTAGTATTTCTGAAAAATGATAAACTAATTACCCCGTATAAATGTAAATTTTGTTTAAAAATACATTAATTCGATATACAATAAAATAAATAGAGCTAGGGCTTGAGTAAAACATTATTAATTTATAATAAATTGTCTAAATATTTCTTAACCTGACCTTGATAGTTTTAACTAATCAACATGACGCCACACCCACATAGTAAAGCATGATCAAATATTTAAATAAGTTGTAAAAAGCGGAATATTTTAACACAATTTTTAAAAAGTATAATAATTAAAAAACTACCTTGTATGAAAATAGGTGTTCAATAATAAGACTAGAATACACCATTAGCCAGAAGCAGAAACTAAGGCAAAAACACCGCCGCTTTTGAATAAAATCGGCACAATTCCGAATTCCTTAACGTCTGCTAAATTATGATTTTTAGGTTGCAATTTTTTATTTAATTTGTTATTCACGTGCTGCTTTAATTTTAAATATTTTGCTTGTGTTCCGTAATTACATTTTATCATAATGTCATCGTGGAAAAAAGCTGCCAAGTCTCATCAAAAAAATCATAGAGAACGACATCAACCTGAAAATCGAGCTCATTTAGGTTTACTTGAAAAAAAAAAAGATTATAAATTAAGAGCTGAAGATTATAATAGAAAAAAAAGAACCCTACGATTGTTGAGAAAGAGAGCTTTAAATAAAAATCCAGATGAATTTTATTTTCATATGATTAATTCTAAAATTGAAGATGGCATTCATCATGAACTTGAAAAAGATGATGAACATACACCTGAACAATTGATGTTAATGAACACTCAAGATTTAAAATATATAACAATGAAAAGAACTATGGAAATGAGAAAAATTGAAAATTTACAAGCACAACTGCATATGTTAGATGTTGCAAACGATACTCCTAATGAACATGTTTTTTTTGTCGATTCCAAAGAGGAAGCAAAAAATTTTGATGTTGTCAAGCATTTGGATACTCATCCTTCACTACTCGATCAAAGAATTAATAGAATAAAATTAGATGAATTAAGGAAAATGAAATTAAATATAGATGAAGAAAGTATAAGAAATATAGCAAATCAAAAAAAGAAAATGTACCAAAAGCTTGCTAAAAGAGTAGAACGAGAAAAAGAATTAGGAATAATACAACAAAAGTTGGAAATTAAGAGGCATTTGATCGCTTCAAAACATCTTCAACCTAAAAAAATTAGAAATGCTACAAAGAAGTCAGCTGCAATTTACAAATTCAGTTCTGAAAGAAAAAAATAAATTTTTTTCTTAAGATTTAAAGTGATAATATTTTTTTTTAATTTTTTTGCATTTATTTTTACTTAATGCATTTTATTTTGCTTGGTGAAAGTCTTACTTATAACTTAGGTATTTATTTATTATTTATTATTATCAAATTTCTTATAAAAAAATTTGAGTTAAATGCTAAGCGAAAATAAAGTAGTTAAAAATTTTCATGAAATTGAAATCTAAACTGTGACGGTACTTATCTCGTTAATAAAAAAAAAAACTTATTTTTCAAATTTTTTAATTTTTTTTAAAATTTAATTTTGTACAAAAATAGAAAGTTTCAATTTTTTTAAGTTTTATTTTAATTTTAAAATTTAATAGATCCTTTAATTAATCACAATTTTATATTGAGTGCACATTATTATAAATAGAAAAGAATTTTATTTTAAAAATCTTAAACGTTAGAAGTCAAAGTTACACATATTTGAAAGTTTTTATGTTTTATTTTTTATTCAGAAAGATTTACAAACTTATGACTATTATTCAAGCAATAAATTTTATTAATAAAATTTAGAATTTTTTAAAGGCAAAGTTTTTTATTGTAATCCTTAGTTTTTTTTTATTTTTGTAAAAGCTCATGAAGCATAATAATTCCTTTTTATTTTAACTGAAAGCGGTATTTTTTATATAAGTTATAAATTTAAATAAAATAAACTGCTAAAAAATAAAAAAAGAGTTTGACAAAGTAAAAATATTTAGGTCAAAAAAAAGGTATTAAAATATGGACTCTAAATAAAGAAACCACATGTGCAATCTCTTCAAAAAGAAAAATAGGCTTTGCAATATACGCAGATATATATATTTTGGTAGCGTAATTAATTATAAATTATTCATTTTCTCTAAATATTCAATTTATTTCTCTGCTTCATATAATTTTATTTTGTCAGGGAAATACATGTTTGACATTATACATTAGTAGCATGGTGATATAATACAAATTTATGAAGAACAAAATCTCGGAGGCTTTGCATAAAACACTATAGAATGACCGTTAAAAACCGGCAATAACTACCATTAACGCGTCAATTACAAAGACCAGTGTTATATTTAATAATTTTTTTTAATAGTTTAATTAATTATTTTATTTTAATTATATACTACTAAATGAATAAACATTTGGACACTGTTTTTGATGTCAGCGATAATAAAATGTTGGACTTAGTTTCGAGGGCTACAATTGAGAAAATGAAAGCCCATATAATAAACAGAAACGGTAGGCCATATGAATGGAGTATTCATGATTTTGACATTGGCACTCCATTAGGTAGAGGCCGTTTTGGCAGAGTGTATTTAGCTAGAGATAGGCATACAAATGTTGTTTTTGCATTAAAACTTTTACACAAATCTGAAATTATTAAAAGCAATGTTCAAAGACAAGTTCTTAGAGAAATTGAAATTAATTGTCACTTAAAGTAAGTCAATTGGTTTACTTGCAAATGTCTTGAATAAAAATTTACATTAATTTTAACATAATAAATTACTTTTAGGCATCCTAACATCTTAAATATGTTCACATATTTTGATGATAAAAGATTTATATACCTTGTTCTTGAATATGCTGCTGGGGGAGAATTATATCGAAAGATGAATTCTTTGCCTGAAAAACATTTCAGTGAAAAACAATCTGCTAAGTATTTGTACCAAGTAGTTAATGCTTTAAATTATTGTCATAAAAAAAGAGTCATTCACAGAGACATTAAGCCTGAAAACATATTATTATCAGCTAATGATGACATTAAACTAAGCGATTTCGGGTGGTCAGTTCATGCTCCAAATTCTACTAGAAGAACTATGTGTGGTAAATTTTGCATTTAATACACATACACACTACAATACATATAAGTATTTATGTACATTCAAAATCGTTAACTAAAAAAATTGTTTTTTAAAATTCCAGGCACACTTGATTATCTTCCTCCAGAAATGGTTTTAAAAGAAAATTATAATGAAAAAGTTGACAATTGGTGTATTGGAGTGTTATGTTATGAATTTTTAGTAGGTCAACCTCCTTTTGAAAGTTCTGTAGCTGATGCAACATATCAAAAAATAAAAGATACAAAATATACATTTCCCGATTACATTTCCGTCGGTGCAAAAGATTTAATTAGAAGGGTAAATTTTTTATTTTAAGACATTGTTTTCATTTATTTGAATATTGCAAATTATATTTGTTTATGTGTACTCAAAATATTATACATATCATTAATTTTTGAATTTAGAAAAAAAAAAAAAAAAGAGGCTAAATAATAATCGTTAAATAAAAAAATTTTTTTTTTTTTAGACGTTATGTAAAAATCCGAAAGATAGAATATCTTTGGAGGAAATAATGCATCATCCATGGGTTTTACAACATTACAATCCGCCTGAAAATTTTGAAAACACAGAGCGGAAAGATTTTATAGAAGTATTGATTGCTGACAAATAAAATACCACATCCTTATTTCATAATTAATGATTCAAACTCGTCATACTACAGGTTCCTCGAATATTTGATAACATTGAAATTTACTTACATGATAATTATTTTAAATATTTTTTATTATATTTTAAGGGACTATAAATATTGATAATTAATTTTATTTTTTTATACTCTGTAATATTAATAAATAATTATGTGCCTTATTAGTAATTCTGGACTTTTCGATATTTAATTGAAAACACAAAGTTTTATATTAAAAACTTAATAGATGAGCATGAAAGTAAATTATTTTAATAAAAATAACTTTTGAAACAAAAGTGTTTATTTTAATTTTTTAAGTAGGAGAAAATTACATTTTATATAAAAAATCATGTTTCAAAAATTTTCAAGCCTTGATAATTATATTTGAGAATAAATTTTATACTTTTAAATAATAAGTATTTTAAAAAATTATAGTTGTAAAAATTCTTTTATTTTGAAAAAACTACTGATTTTGTTAAGAAACAAAAAGAGAAAAATTAGAATAATTTAAAATTGGACAAGTTTTTAATTAATTTCATTCAAATAAAAATGTCGAGTTCAAAAAAAAAAAAAGTCTAAAACCACGGCTTAATTTAAATATGGCGGCACTGCACGTTAAATTTTCCTTAGTCTGGGTTTAAATTTATCATTAATTTTCAATATGAAAAATATTTTAAACGTTGATAACGTATAACATGGGAGCCGCTGTAAGTTATCCGTACACTCAACTAAGGCGAGTTTTACGTCGGTACAATGCACAAAATCGAGCGCTTAAATTTATAGAAAAAGAAAAATTACCTTCTCGTTCATACGAGCCAGAGATAAGCGGTAATTAATGAGAATTATAAACATTTCAAGGGTTAAATTATGTTGAATTAATTATTGAAATTTTTGAATTGAAATTTAAACAGATCCAAAAATTAGGGAAAGCATTAAAGAATTATATGTTAAAAATAAACAATTGGACGATTATTTGAAAAAAGTCTACTTGACATCAACGGATCCTCCTAAGGTAAAAATATAAAATACAAAATTAAAAATGTATTTTTAATTTTGCATTTTTTTTTTAAAAAAATGTTAAATGTTACTACCCGAAATAAAATTAAATTGAGTTGTTGTTTGTTAATAGGAAAAACAATCATCTAGTAAAAGACCCTTGCCAGTTAAAAGGATAAGGGATAATAGTTTTCTTTTTTATGAGCCGAAAATACCTCAACCTAATTGTTGTACCTTGTCTTCCTCGTTGGAAATAATAGCAAAACACCTTAAAGAGCCTAACAAATGGAATGTTGATGCTTTATCAGAAGAATATAATTTGCAAAAGGATTCAGTTAGTAAGGGCAAATATTATTATGCAATACATTTTTTTCTTTTATATATGTTACTTTTTTTTTTTCCTTTTTTAGAAAACTTATTGATGTATTACTCTTTATTTACTAGAGAAGATTTCCAATTTATAAATAAAGACAGAAAAGAAAATGAAGAGCAAGTGGCATTAGAATTTGTCAAAAGAACAAGGCTAGAAAAAATACCGCTTAAACAAATCGAGGATAAAAAGTAATAATACTATTCGACATATTTAATTAATGTGATTTGATATTTTGATTAAGAGTAAATAGTCATTTCTTTCATACTTATTGTCATATTAGATTTTAGAAAAAAATATTTAGTTATTTAATTAAAATAAGTTGATTGAGTTTAAAACTATTAAAATTCATTTACAAAAATCCTACCTTATTGATAGAGATTTTTTTTTTTCCAACAAAATAGTTCGAAACTTATGTTAAAACTCTATCCCATCTCCATATAGTGCCATCATCACAGACACATACCAAAAGAGAACCATCCCTGCTTAAACTTGTTTGACGAACTGCTGAAGTGCACTTTGGATGACTTAATGTTATGCATTTTGCTAAATTTGGATCTGGAACATCCAAATCCCAGACAAAAGTTCTACCTGCTTGATTTCCCAAAGCAAGAATCTGAAATAAATATTTTCAAATATTTTATGGTAAAGATTGGCCTTTTATTTTACTTTGCTACTATAAATTTTTCATTACTATTCTAAATATAATTTGTTTAGCTAGTTGTAACAAAATAACATATTGTGTACAATATTGTATGCTCGTTATTAAAAGTAATTTTAGTATTATTCAAGGTTTTTTGTTAAAAAATTTTTCAACATATTGTTATTAATAAAATGCTCAATTTAAATGATATTATAACTATTATTATTATTATTATTATGCAAAATACTTTAGCTTTTAGTTTTTTTGTAATAAACTGTCTCTATATAAATGAACATTGGTGTATTTTAATATATAAATAATGTATGATTTTAATTCAAAGAATCGAAAATTATAAAATTTAATATGTACTAGAGTAAAACCTTAATAATAATAAAAATATTTTTCATTTATGAAAAGATGAAATTTTAAGTGAATTCAAATTTTATTACATTTGAAATAGAGAACTATACCTTTTGCCAAAAATCCATGGAAAATCTTACAAACCATATTTCGCATTCTTTGTATTCGAATCTATGAATTATTGTAACATTAGTTTCATTATTTCTCAATTCTTTGTCTTCTAGTCTACCAGGTTTCCAACAAACTATACAGTTTTCACATGACTAAAACAAATAAAAAAGTTTGATTTTTTGTAAATGTACCACAATAATTATTTCTTATTTCATTTTTTTTTCTTTTAAATAAAAAGAGACAAAAATCTGGCATAATTTACCTTTGATAAAACAAAATCCCCAATCCACCTCACACAATCAACATAGTTCCTATGAATATCTCTTGTTGAAAAATCTGGAAAATGTTCTTCATGAGATTCAAAAGGTCTATTACTTCTAGCAGCATTAAATGAATAGGAATTTTTTAAAACTTCATGCATCTTTTCTTTATCTAGCCTCCATAGTTTTAGTGAATGATCCATTCCACAAGACATAATTTTTTCTCCTTTTAAATCGAAATCAGCACTAAGCACTTCATCTCTGTGACCTTCAACTCCACCAAAAATTGCAATACAAACATCCGTTTTAATGTTCCACAATCTCAGTGCATGATCTTTGGAAACAGAAAGTAGTACATTCGGATCTTTAGGATGAAATTTTAGTTCATTGATAGCATGCCCATGCCCTGAAATAATAAAAGTAATTTTATGTATTTTAAAAGTTTAATATTTTATCTAAGTAATAATTCCTGTAAAAATTTTCGTCCTAAATGTTTACATGATGATTATTATTAATTACATGATAATTTAAACATGTTTAGTATTAACAATAGTATTTTTTTTACAAAAAAAATTACCTATATAATGACGAATACAATTCATAGTTTCTGGACAAAGAATTCTAATAACTCCTCTGGAACCTGCTACAGCTAAATAAGGATTTCCCGTTTCAACATCATAAGACCAAGCACAAGTATAATAATTTTCATCTGTCTACGAACTAATGTTAAGAAATTTATGATTTAAATTTTATAAGAACTTGATGTAATTTGTTCTTATTAAAGGTCATAATTAAACAAATAAAGTTTGAAAAAAAAAATTAATTCATATTTTAATTTAAAAAGCAACTAAAAAGAGTTTTATAAGCATAAAAGTAGACTTTTAAAACAACGAACAAAGTATATTAGAAAAGGCTATATAAAATAATAACTTATTTAGGAATAAGTAACTAAATAAGGATAAATATTTTAGATTTTTGATTCTTCAAAGGATACATCTGGGTCAGCATAACACTGGAGAAGCGATATACTTCCATTTTCATCACATCTGTAAATTGATACTCTATTACTTCCGACTGAAGCAAAAATTAAAGGTTCTCCTTTCTTTAAATGATGATTGAATTGAGCTCCGAAAATGGGCTGCCCATGATCTTCTTTGACATAACATACAAATTTATACTGAAGCTTAGATGTTACTGTTTTCCCTGACTTTTTCCTGCTCCTTTTACCTTTCCTACCTTTAAAATTAGTAGGAGTGGGAGTTTCACTTCTGGAAGTATTGTCTGTCGTAGAAGCACTACCTACACTCGATGTTTCATCCTTTTAAAAATTTAAATAAAACACTTCAAGTAATTGAATAATAATTCTACTTAAAGTAAAAATTTGGAAATTTAAACAAAAATGATGTTTATTAGAAAACTACTAATTGAACTTTTAAAATAAAACTATTTAAATATAAGATTACTTATACAGCCTTAAATTAAAGCTATTAAGTTTGTTACTAAGTTATTATTAATATGTGTAAAAAAATTTAAAATACTAAATTTTATAATATAAATTAAAATTATGTAAATTTAATAATTCATGTCTTATAAATTTTCTAAGTTTGAAATTAATGTTTTATTTTTTTTTTTAAATAAACGATGTTCATAGATTAAAATTATTCTGTACCTCTTCCCCAGAATCTTCAGTTAAATTTGAAATGTCTGAATTAGGATTAACATTTTTTAAAGATTTCACTTTAAGTGAATTATTACCAGACATAATCAAAACAAATACTTAACAAGAGTCCCATAAACTCCTACTTTTGAGGAACAAGTACGCGGTCAAAATTTTAAAAAAAGGCCCCGAAAATTAGGCGTTAATTTCTTATCCGCCAAAACGATAACTGAAATTATTGGATTTTTATAATTTGGACGTTACATTCATAATTTTAAGGCGTTTCAAATTTTTATTTTTAATATAAAAATAAGAAGCTTTTAAAGGTAATTTGATTTTAAAATATAATTTTTTGCATACAGTGTTATTAACTATAAAAATTATCTACACTAGTATAACGTGAATTTTAAAAAACTTGACAAAATTAATAATGAAAAACCGTTGAAAATAAATGTCTGACTCAAATTTTTATTTAATCAATATTAAATATCAGTCGAATAACAATAATTTTTAAAGCTAAATTTATATTTTACGAGAACTAGAAAAACGATATATGTGCCTACACTTAAGAAAAATATTTAAGAAATAGATATATAGTTAATTAAAAAAAATTATCATTATTATTATTTTTTTAAAATGGCCATCAAAATCCAATAGATTGCAAAGTAATTCTTAAACATAATATATAAAAATCAAAAAATAAAGTTTTTAAATTAAATCTCATTATATTTACAACACTTAAACATTGAATTTAACTTTTTAAAGATGTTTTTGAGAGTAAAATTTGTTTTCAGAATAAAAATGGAGAAATCATTTTCTCAGTGTCTAACAAATGTAAGAGAAGATTTAACACAAATAAAGCAAATAAGGAATTATTTAGATTCTAACACAGATTCTCAAAATCAAAAAGACTATTCATTAAATTGGCAAACCATTGAAGCCTACAATAAAATTTTGGGTACCTGCTCATTAGGCACACCACCTGATATTGATTTTTTGAACACTCTTCTTGATAGTTTTCAATTTATATCAAATAATAAAGAAGAAAATGTAACATGGAGTAATTTTGGCTTTGAATTGGGAGTCTTGTGCCTTAAAATACTTTCAGCAATTGAACATTCAGAAATGTTTCAGTATTTCTTTACAAAACTTTTAACAGTAATGAATTCTTTTTCTCAACATACTTCAGATGTTTGGAAAGCAGCATCACGTCCAATATTGAATGTCATAATAAATAAAAAGTTTTCAATTGATTATTTAGAAACAGTACTTACACTTTATATTTCTATATTAAAAAATATTGATTACACATTATTACAAGACTTTGCACAACATAATCTTAGCATTTTAAAAACGATTTCTAAATTAATTGAAAAATCAGGAGATTTTGAAATTCAAAAAAATATATTTAAACTCTTATACCTTCACGTGCATGGTGACAAAGTTTTGATTGAAAATTTATTTAAGGAGTTTATTCCAGATGTAAAAGGATTATTTCATAAATTTCAAACAATGAAATTCGAGGATGTTTGTAGAAATTATTTAAACAATTTAAACAAAAACTTAATGTCTAAAAGAGAAGTTTTTTCTATTAGTTGCACAAGATTGTATGCGGGAGGATATCTTTTGGAGCCACTCACCGAAAACCAATTTTTTTGGGTTGATGCAAACAACAAAAGCCAAAGATTAACTTTTCAATGCAAGAGCACTCTACCAAATTCATCTGAATCTTGTACGATTCATATTAAATTTTCTGATATAACAGGCATTAAAATCGAGCATGAATTTGAAAAAGAATTTAAAATATTATTAAAAGGAGAAGGATTACAAAAAATTTTCAAACAAGTCAAAAAAGATGAAATAATTTGTTTGAAGGTACATTCTGACAGTACCGATAAGGAAATTTGTGATTTTAAAAACAACTTAAACGCAGTTATTCAAAATAAAAAATCAAAGAAAAAATTATCCCAAAGCTGCGATGAAATATTCATAGATAGAAATTCCAATGATCAAACAGAAATAAAAAAAAAGAAAAAAGAAAATGCACGTCAAAATCATGATAAAAATAACCGCAATGAACAGGGTATTAATCGAATCATTCCACAGGCTTTGACATTATTAAATAAAATTGAAAGTGAAATAAATACTGAAAAACCATGCCCTCCGCATAAAGTTAATGAAAACAAAGAAAACAAAATGATAGGAAATGGGTCGATGAACATTGGAATTCACGAAAAAAATGACACTATTGTTATTGCAAAAGAAAAATCACCCAAACATAATTCATGCATGAATATTGAAAGGAATAATAACCATGAAAAAATAAAAATTTTTCCAGATATAGTACCTGAATCTGAAGAATTAACATCCAATTCTTTTGTTGAAACATTAAATGCAAATATCGAATTGAAAAATACAAAAGAATCAGAATCGATAAATAAATATAAATCGAGTCACAAACTTTTTCGCGACTGCGAAAATTCTTTTTTCGACATTGTCAACAATGATTTTCCAGAGAGAGAAAAAAATAAAAATGGAAACAATTTAAACACGAGAAAAACTAAAGAATTAATAAAAAGTAAAGATAAATTAAAATCAAATTTTTACGACGATGAAAAAAAACAATTTGGAATATCAAGCTCTCAATCGGATAATTATTTTCGTGGAGGAAGTGTTGAGAAAAAAATGAAACCGACATTGCCGAAATTAGTAAAAGGAAAAAATTATAAAAATGATGAAAATTTTCCAAAATCTTCTCTATTAGATCCTAACGGTTATGCATTTCGTCAGTGGATAAAACCGGCCACTTCTGAAAGAAGTAAATTTTGGTTAAACAAATTGAAAGATTTCGAAAAGAAAAAACAAAATTCTGATAAAATATTTGAATTTACCGATGAATCTGATTTTGACAAAACCATCAAATTGAATAATAATAATAATAATAATAATAATAGAAAAATGACAAGAAAAAACGGAAAGAAAAAAAGTGAAAAATCAGTTGTGAAAAAAGGAAAAGTTTTTTCAAAAAAAAAATTTCAAGAGCCTATGGACAATGTTAAAAATTTACTTTTACAAACAAATTTTTCAAAGGAAAAACAACAGGAATCGTTAAAAGAAAAGTCGGAAGTACCTAATGCGACAACAACAGCAAAAACTTTTGTGGAAGTGTCGTCAAACAAAGGTGAAAATATGTCAACGGAAGAAATGAAAAATTTACAAAAAAATTTCGAAAAAAATTTTTCAACTTCTGAACAAAATATTTTCGATTTATCCGAAACTGTTGAAAATAAAAACAGTCAATGGAAAATTAGCGGAAACGAATCAGATTTAAATTTTTCTGACTTATATCCATCGTCAGACATTTCCGAAAAAGAATTCGAATGGGATTTTAATGAGAAAATCGAGTGGGAAAAAATGGAATTTTCCGGAAGTCTTCTTAATTCTCACGAATTTCATAATCACGAAGACGATTTGAAAAAATTCGATACGGATTTAAATTTTGAATCTTGGGAAGATTTTTTTTTAAACGTCATTGAAAATAATAATAATAATAATTCCAGTGAAGAAATGGATAAAAATCAAAATTTTCCTATGGAAAACATGAGTAAAAAAATGAAAACAAACGAATCATCATTTTTTGTTATGAAAACTCAAATTGATAAAATAGAAGAAAAAACAAAAAAAGAAACAAACGAAATTGTCAGATTGTTTAACGCCACAGCGAAACGTTTCGTTAATAAATTAAGGGAAGAATATTATAATGACGTCATTTCCTTTATTCGAAATACGACGGATGCAACATTTGCATTAGGCAGACTCGATTTCGATGATTTAAACGATTCTATTAAAAAATTTTACGTATATTTTAGAGAAAAATGTTCCGTATCGAATTATTTGGACACGATTCATTCTCAAATATCAATAATTGAAAAAGCAGAAGAAATTTTTTTTAACTCTAATGAAAAATCCCTGTGGAAAGGAATCGAAAGTGTAAATAAAGATCTGGAGTCGATGATAAACAAAGAAATCGAACAATTAATCGGGGATGAAGCTGACGTCATTAAAAATCGATTAATTCAATATGCAGCAGCTTTAAATTTAAATTTTTATGAAGATTTTAATGAAATTAAATAATAATATTTATGTGCATGTTCTTTTTCAATTTAATTATTCATTGTGGACTAAAATTAATGAGGGACAAGATGGCGGTGTTAAGAAGAACATGAATTAATTTTTAAGTAAAAGGAAATATTTTGATTATAAAAACGTTCGAGCAAAAAAAACCATTTAAAAAAAAAATAGTTTTTATTTAAGAAATTTTTTTTTTTTATGAGTAGGCTTATAAATACATATTATATACTTATTTTTCCTACCGGCAGGAAATAAAATATGGAACCTTTTAAAAGAATAATTTACAAATTTTTTGGAAAATTATATATATATAGATAGAAGATAAAATGGAGTCTGTTATTCAATTGATTTAAATTTTTTCAAATCATCTTAACTCTTATTGAAAGTGTAACTGAAACCATCTGGAGTTCTGTTCAAATTAAGTTTTCCAGGTGGCAAAAATCTATGGGCTCCGGGTTGAGGGGCTCCGGGAACGGAAAACGGTTGTGGAATACCGGCAGCAGCATAAGCAAGAGGAGCTGGAGTCGCACCGAAAGAATAAGAATATTGCGGAGAGGGTGGTGGTACTTGGGGAGCGTTTTGCGGACGGTAATCCGGATTGTTGTATTCTTCTCTGTATTGACCGTCATCGTATTGGGATGGTGCAGTGTAAGATGGTTGTTGTTGTTGTTGGTACCTCGGTTGAACAGGGACTGCTGGTTGAGCTTGGTATTGAGGTTGAGGTTGATAATATGATTGAGGTTGATATTGTCCTTGATATTGTCCTTGGTATTGGCCTTGATATTGAGGTTGATATTGTGGTTGAGGAGCTGCTGGTGCTGGTGCTGGTGGAGCTGGTGGGGGAACTGGTAAATGATCACCAAAAGCTTGGAAACCATCTTTTCCAGCCGTGTAAGTTACCGTTCTTCTTTGTCCACTACAAAGTGAGTAACGTATAACGATATCGAACACTTAAAATTTAGCTTTTTTTTTTGTTTTGTTTTTAAAACTAGGTAATTACCTTGGGTCTACGTAACTGTAAGAACCTTTTCTGTTTCCAGCAGCATCACTTTCTTCTTTAAATTGAACTCCATCTTCTTGAGTGTAGGCTGAACCGAAAGTTCCGTCTCCGGCTAAATATCTAGTATCGCTGAGAATAGCTGGCACGGGAGCTTCTGGAGCAGCTTTATATTGGGCAGAGCATACAACTGCCAAACCTAATAAAAATATCTGGAGGAAAAAAAATATAAAAAACCTGACATTATCACAACAATCAAAGGTAAGAATAATAATAGTAATAATAATAATAATAATAATAATAATAAAACGCATTTTAAAAAAAAATGTTTGTGTGATTTGCTTGCAGGGAAAATTCACGAGAAAAAGTCATTCTTCACCAAAGGGCGAGTAATTGTAACACTGACCTTTCCGCCGAAGACATTGAATCCTGCTTCCCGTTTATTGCTTCATCGATTCGACCACTCTCGCCTACTAATTACTAGTCCCCCTCCCCCCCGGGAATATAAAACAAGTGGAGAGAGGATCTCATTTTTAAAAGGTAAATTTTAATTTTTTTTTAACCTTTTTAAACATTTAAATCCTTGAGCTCGTTAATAAAAAATTACGTAACAAACATCGTAAGTAAGCACACACTAAAAAAAAAATTGTCGCAAAAATTTATTTCGACAAAAAAAAAAGAAAAAAAATGCGGTGTAACGTTGAGTAAAAAAAAAAAAAAAAAAAATTTCAAATTTTAAAATTGGTTTGGATAATTTTTTTTTTAAAAGGGGGGGACCAAAAGTAATTTTTTGGGCCTTTTTTTTTTTTTTTTTTAACAAAGTCCCTTTAAGGATTTGGAAAGTCCCGGGAAAACAAAACAACAATTTAAAAAGGATTTTAAAATAAAAAAATTTTAAATCCCTTTTAAGTTATTTGTTAAAAAAAAAAAAAGAAAAATATTTTTTTTCAATGTCGAACGATTTTAATATTACAAAAAAAAAAAAAGTAAAAACCCAAACTTTTTGCTCAATTTGAATGGGACGCCATTTTAAAATTTAAAAAAAAAAAAAACAATCACAACCGTTAAAAAAAAAAAAAAAAAACGAAAGTAACGAACGTGTAAATGTTAAACTTTCGAAACACATTTAAAAAAAAAAAAAAAACGTCCCGTAGGAATCTATCCTATCCCGTAGGAATTTCAATGTTAGAGAAATAACCGTCACAACAAAACATCATCAACAGACAATCACTGGAAAATTTTTTAAGAAAATGACCAAAAAAAAAAAAATTTTAAAAAAACGCGAAAAAAGGTACGAAAAAAAAAGGGAAAAATGTCGCGGAAAAAATCCAAAAAAATTCGTCGAAAACAAACAAAAAAAAAAACAAAAACAAACAAACAAGCAAACAAATTTTTTTTTTTTTACTTACGAGCCTACTCATGATGATGATGATGATTAAAGCTCTGTCTATATAGACCAACTGTATCCCTCCTTTGCCATACAATTCTTTATATAGTAGGGGTCACAAGTTTGCCTGCCTGCCTGCCTGCCCGCCCGCCATGGTGGTGGAAACCGTTGTTTTTCTCTCTATCCTTTATAAAATGAGGAAGTTTCGTTTTTATTATCATTATTATCACTATTATTATTATTATCGCGCCGCAATATTTACTTGCGCAAATAATTCTTCACTTTTGGACACTTGGGAATTGTTTTTCTATACTCTTTTCCCTTCCTTCGATCCATCGAACGATTCATCGAACGATCCATCGATCCGACAAATTAATTCTTCTTTCGTCATTAGCGTACCTTAAATTTAAAAAAATTTTTTCCCGAATAATTAATTACGTAATAATAATAATAATAATAATAATTTTTAATAATAATTTTTTTACAGATGAACCAAAAAAAAAAGGAAAAATTTTTTCTCGGCGTGTTCACGACTGGAATTTTTTTAACATTTCACCAATTAATCGCACCAATCAAATTTTGATAATCACGAAAAAAACCGAAGAAACCCGAACGAGTTGCAATTTGTTTCCGAAAAAAAAAAAAGGAAAAATTTTTCAAAGGTACGCAATTTTTTTTTTTTTTTTTTTTTATGCTTTGATAATGATAATAGATGATCGTGTTGTTTGTTGTACACAAAATGGGCGTTGGATTATTCGAGGAAGTGAAAACCATGAGAATAATAATAATAATAATAATAATAATACACTATCGGTGTAAGGTGTGAAAGGTGTAAAATGATAAATCGAGACGTCTGGAAGGCAGGTGGAAAAACCTTAGAAAACCTGAGAAAAAGAAAAGAAGAGTGAAAAACTCTTTTTTTTTTTTTTCATGAACTTTGAACTTTCAACAAACAAAAAAAAATTTTTTTTTTTTTTTTTTTTAATGAATTAAACGAACAAACGCCCTAAAAAACTAAAACAAACGTGAAATTTTTTTAAGTTGAAAAAATCAATTTTGTTTGTTTGTTTGTTAGTAATTTAAACGTAAAATAATCGTTTGTTCTCTTGAAAAACAAAACAAACAGGTTAATTTATTAAAATAATAATAATAATAATAATTACGTTAACAAAAGGATTCCAGGAGTCGCGATTAAAATTTTTTAAAAATTTTCAATGATTACATGGCAAACAAACAAAAAAAAAAATAATGATGATTTTTTCGACGTGTTTGTTTGTAATTTTTTTTGTTGCAAAGATGTACCCCCTCCCCCGCATCTTTTTCCGTTTGTTATGGTTAATAACAAATACTTTAATGTATAAAAAAAATTTAGAATGTTTTTTTTTTTTAAACAAACGAGGCCGAACAAAAAAAAAAAAAAAAAAAAAAACAAAGTCGATCTATAGCCTCAAGGCGTTCACGAACGAGGCTGGTATACGCTTCTCTCTCTCTCTCTCTCTCTTTTTCTCTTTCTCTTTCTCTCTCTCTCACACACTGTCTTGTGGAAGGTTTTCGAAAAGGTATTAGAGTTTTTTTCGTTTTGACCTTGAAATGGAGTTAGTAAAATAAAAACGCGGGAAAAAAACAACTTTTAACCTTAGCCCATTCTTCCATTAGAGATTATTCTATATCTTTGTTTTTCTAAGGTCAAAGTTCATACAGAAGCCAAATCTCTGAGAAAATTCTTTCTCAATTTCTTAAAAAAAAAAAGAGAAACAATTTTTTTTTTTTTTTTTTTTCTTAGTTTTAGGCGGGGTCCTCGACATTTTTGGTCAATCATTTCAGATCGATACGCAATCGATGGGCGGTTTTTGTTTCCTTTCTATTGTCTGTAATACGACAGATTTAAAGAGAAAAAAAAAAAAAAAATCCTCTCACATTCCCGTTCGTTCCCGTTCGCGCGTTCATTCATCAAATAATAATAATAATAATAATAATTACAATATGTTGACAAGCAGATTATTTCGATATGTTATTCACGCCTTTCAATGACATTTTTTTTTTTCAATTTTCAAGGTTTCACCACGCGCAGATTCTCTCTCTCTCTCTCTCAAAAAAAAAAATATTTGCTGCTTCCTATTATTATCAAAAGGTGTGTGTGTGCGTGTGTGTGTGGGATTTTCATTTTAAATGACTTCATCATTCAATCAATCAATCAATCAATCAAAATTGATTAAATAACTTTTATGAAATAAATCTTTTGTTTTCTTTTTGTAAAACATATTAAAATTTTTTGTTCGGTCATTTTTTTTTTTTCGATGGATTTTATTTCCCCGTTCGAAGCAGTAGAGTTATCATTATTATTATTATTATTATCATGACGATTTTCCTCACGCGAGTTTGAAGTTTTTTTTTTTTTTAGAGCCTTCACACACAAACAAACATAATTCCAATTATGGTAATAAAAAAAATTTTTTTTGTATTTTACCCGCAAACAAACACCCAATACAAAACTATTAATAATGATGATTAATTACATGCATTTCCACAACAGAACATTAAATCCACGTGTACCTGATACGGTTCAACCTAATAAAATTATATAATAATTTTTTTTTTCTTTAAAAAAAGTAAACAATGCGGCGTAATTCATTTTGTACATTTATGGAATTTCTAAACCTTAAATAATAATAATAATAATAATAATAATAGTAATAATAATAATAGTAATAATAATGATAATAGTAATAATAATAATAATAAACCGTAATTATGATATTCGATAAGAAATAAAATTTTTTTTTTTTTCGCGGAAAAGTTTAAGAGGGTAAAAAAAAAATTTTCCTTAACGGGAATCAATTTCGTAAGTCTAAACCAAGGGAAAATTTTTTTCCCTCTTTTTCCCCCCTTTTATTATTATTATCACTATTATTTTATGTAACGTAAGTAAATATATGTATATTCAAGGTACGGCGTCGAATCCACGTGAGTTTGACAGGTTCGAAAAAGATTTTAACTTTGTTATAACCGGGGGGGGGGGATGGTAATACATAAATTATCCAGTCGATTCCATAATTAAAAAAACCGTTATTATTATTATAATTATTAAAGTTGGGAGACAGTTTTTTTTGAGAAAAAAAATTTTCATCAGCTTCAAAGACTTTTCACCAGATTAAGCTGAAATTTTCACAGGATTGACTTTTATTTAATATTTTTTTTCTCCAGCGTTACGACGCGAATTACGTCACGTAAAAGATTCATTCGCGTAAGGAAAACGAATTTTAAAAAATTTAAATAAAACGAGAGAGAAACGTTCAGTTAAAAACCGGTTTTCCCTAAATAAATTTTCCATTCGTTATTTTTATGCGTGCCTTGAAATTGAAAGAAAAAAAAAAATTCACATAATCAGGTGATTTTTTTTTAAATCATCCGAAAATAAAAAAAATAATGAATTTTTGTTAATTCCGTTACGTAAAACTCGAATTAACTCAATGATAATAAAATGAATTATCGCGAAAATGTAAATAAAATGGAGGAAAGCCTCAAAAACTCATCGAATATAAATTTTTTTATTAATGATTTATAGAAAGAAGATGATGATGATGATGATCGTTTCACGTCAAAATGTTCAATGTCGAAAATATTAATTCAAAAGAAAACATGAATGAAAAAAAAAAAAAAAAAAATGGATGAGGAGTTGGGATCACAAGGTCACATCACATCCTCCAAAATACTATTTTTTTGGTGAATGGTGGAAAACAACAACGACGTGAATGTGATAAGACGCTTAACCGGAAGCATAATTTAATAAAAGGTACGTAATAATAATAATAATAATAATAATTTATTAATTATGACGCAAATAGAAAAGGAAAAAAATAGATCTTTTAGGTTAGACTCGGTGAGTTATTTTTTTTCTAAGTAATCCGCAGGAATTTCGGAGAGAAAGAAAAAAACGAAAGCTTACGATAATTAAAAAATGTTTTTTGGTCTGCCATCGACCTTGGGGGGACGGGGGGAAGGGTCGACGACCAAACAAACATTCCCTCCCTATTCTAATTCTTTACCAAATAATTATTACGAAATATTAATAAAACAATAAATAAATTAATGTAAATTGTTTTTCTCCCTCTCTCTTGGAGTATTTAAATAAAAAAAAAAAAAAACAGGGAAGGGTGAAAAGGTTCGAGTAAACGTCGTCAAAACCCTTTTAAAATTTTTCCCTTCCACCTCCCTCCCTCCTCCCCCCCCAAAAAAAAAAAAATGAAAACTAAAAATATCGTTTGTGGTCGTTCAAATATTTTTTGTTTTTTGTTTAAATTGCCTAAGGTTTTATTAATATTGCGTGACAATTTTTTTTTTTTTGTTTTTTTTTTTTTTGTTTACAAAAATCGCCATTAATTTTACCTTTCCAAAAAAAAAAAAAAAAATTTATTATTTAATACATAATTAAATATCGAATGTAATCGAAAGTAATACTTAAAAGAAAAGGGAAAAAAAATTGAAAAATTTTTGGCACGTGAAATATTCAATAATTTAATTAATTAATAAAAATTATTATCCCCCCCTCCCGCGTTTTCCGTTCTGGTATATTTTATGCGTTTAAAAATTTTGTTTTTCCCCATCCACCCCCCTTCCCCAATTTGTTTTCCCCGATTTCTGGGAGTAATTTTTTTTTTTTTTTACTGAAATTTAATAATTTATAAAAAAAAAAAAAAAAAAATAAATTATTTTTTTACGCCCTACAAATTATAAATTTACTTTTTGTAATACATAACAAACAATCAAATTGCCTGGTTTTAATTTTCTTTCAAGGTTTGAATTTCATAATACCTGAAAAACAATAAGTTTTTTTTTTTTTTTTTTTTCGACATTTATTCGTTACCGTTGTCATCATTTATTAAATAAAATTATTTTCGCGGCCATTTAAAAATGAATAAAAAAGTTTTGAATTTTGTAGCAAACGAATATCAATAAAAAAAAACAAATCGAAACCCGGAAGAATGAATATGAAACCGTTATCGATAAACAATTTTTTTAAAGTTCAAACCGGGTATTAATTGGTATATCCCCATCGTGATGGGGATATACCAATTATAATAGTTAAAAAAGGGAACGAGTTTGTGCGTTCGCTCTGTGGCCTTCCCACACTAAATAAATCCTACTACTACCTCCTTTGATTCCTGGTCATTTCTTCAATTCACACATATACATGTATAATTTTTTATAAATTAAACCTTAAATTATCCCTCCTGACCATTCGATTAAATTTAAAATATAAACGAAAAGAGTAGATCCCCCCATTCTAAACCAATAATAAATTTTTTAAATAAATTAATTTACGATCTCAATCAATCCGTGGATTCAGAAACAAAAAAAAAAAAAAAGAAACGAATACGGAAAATAATTAACAATGTTAGTAAAAAAATACAGACAATTATTACCCTAAAGCCCAAGGCAAATGGGTCTAAGGCTCGTGCCAAAAACCTGTATTTTGCTTCCAATGTAACTAACTAACTAACTATGTGTTCAGTGTTAGTGCGGCGGCCTGCCAAAGAACTTCGCGCCACGTTCTTGTGCGTGTATGTGTGTGCGTGTATATATTTAGATATATTTGCTTTCTTTCTATCGGGTAACAATTGAGTGGAGCAACAAAACGAAAAGTGACTCTTTTCATGTTTACCTAATAAATACAATTTATTAATTTTATTTAAACATGTCAGGTACTTCATAATAATAATAATAATTAATAATAATATTTGTAATAGCAAAACGTAAAAAAATAAATTTGTTTGCAAATACATGAACTCAAACTTATTTTTTTACAACAAAAAATTAACAATATTTTCTTATCAGTAAATTAATAAATAAATTTAACTGTCGTTATCATTTTTACCAACGTTTGAAAAATTAAAAATAAACGAAAAGTTATTAGAAAAGTAAAAAAAAAAAAAAAAAAAAAAATGGAATTCAGTGCATTATAATATAAATTTTTTTTTTGTAGCAAGTTACGTTGAGAACAAAGTTTATATAAAAAAAAAAAAAAATATAAAGCGTGCTATGACGTAAAAATAATGGCGAACTTGTATTTCAAGAATGATATAGAGAAAGAAAAAGAGAAAAAGAGATAGAGAGAGAGAGAGAGACCGTTAAAAAAACTCTAGGCTTATTAAATTTAAAATAAATATTTTTCGTCATTCTTTCATTCACATACAAAAAAACTTTTTTTTTTTTTCCTCACAAATCTTACGTACGACATTTTTGTTTAAAAAAAAAAAGAATTATTATTATTATTAACATAACGCCCACATTCTGACTTTTAATTTAAGTAAAAAAAAAAATAAATAAAAAAAATTCATAATTTTTAATTACTATTATTTATGTCACACACGAATAAAATGCAAGGTAAAGGACAATATCGAGTGGCCCACCACCTTCCTTCGTCTTTTTTTATTTATTTCTCTCTCTCTCTCTCTCTCTCTCTCTCTCACACACAATTTATTTATTTATTTATTTCCAAGTAACTTTCATACGTATTTACACAGTTTTTTTCTTATTTTTTTTTTTTTATTTGTTATAATTTATCGCATTTAATTAATTTATTTGAAATTTATTTAGGTCAAAATAACAACACGGTTATTTCAAATGTATAAATAATAATAATAATAATAATAATAATAATAATAATAATAATAACAAATCGTAGCGAACTATTTATGAACAAACGAACGAAACAATTTGTTGTTTGAATGATATAAAACAACTTTCGATTGAAAAAGATTTTTTTTTTTTTTTACATTGATATTGTACTTATAATAAAATTTAATAATAATAATGATAGTAATACAGACAAAAATTTTTAATTTAAATATTAATTAATATTTATATGAACGACACCCACGCAACGCCATATTTGATTTCTGTACAAACGAGATTAGAAAAGTTCAAAACTGAAACCCACAATCGTTGTGTTCGGGTGTCAATCCCCTCGAGAAAGTCAATATAAATTCCGTGGTATCCCTCGAGGGGAACCTTATTAACCATTATCACGTCCTTAAGAAAGTAGGTTCTACCTGTCTTGGGGTGGGAAGGGCGAGGGGGCCCCGGCGAAATGACTTCAACATTTTATATTTAAAAAAAAAAAACTCGCATTTATAACATTGAATAATTGCCAGAGACGTGTTTAATTAATTCCGGTACATAATTTAATTAAATAATATATATCTACTTATGTATTTATGTATTTATTTATGTATTTATTTATTTCAGAAAGGATCGGAGCTTTTAAATTTCATTTCCTCGTTTTTATTTCCGATGAAGTCAACATTATCGTCAAATTTTTTAACGCAAGGAAATAAATTTTTTTCACGTTAAAAAAAAGAAGAAAATTTCCAAGTACCGATTCAATTTGGGAAATGCGTCTTTGTTTATACATTCTGGTACGTAAAATAATTTATAATAAAATAAATTTCCCACCCCCCCATTCCCTCATTCCCCTTTCCCGCTTTTTAAAAATAGCAGTCCATTTTTTTTTTTTTTTTTAACCTTGGTGACTCTAACGTACTTTTATCGCCTTAAGGAAAAATTTGTTTGTCGTTTAAAAATTTGCAAAATCCAGTCTAACAATAAAAATTAATAATAATAATAATAATAATAATAATAATAATAATAATAATAATAATAATAATAATATTAATAATAATAATAAAACAGAATAAATTTACGATATCACAAAATAAAATATCAAAAGGTTGAAAATGCAATCACCTTTTTGTAAAAAAAAAAAAAAATCCATCGAGAACTTTAATTAAAACCGTAGCAAATATTATTATTATTATTAGGCGACAAGCTAAACACTTTGAATATTATGAGTAGGTAATAATAATAATAATAATAATAATAAACAACTTTTTGTTCTGATATAAAACGAGATACTAAAAAAAATTTAATAAATTATATTCAAGGACGAGTTTTTTTTTTTTTTTTGCTTTTTTTTTCGAGACTTAAGTTAATTGTAAAAAAAAAAAAAAAAACCGGACGCGGAGAGACGTGTAACTAGAAGAAATTATAATATAAATACAACAACGTCAATAACGAAAATAATAATAATAATTTACCCGGTTAAAGTTGTCAAAAATTAAATCAGAAATTTTCTTTTTTTAAAAAAAAAAAAAAAAACCTTGATCTTACCTACACCAAACCACACGATCTCTCTTGAACAAATATATATTTAATTTAATTAATTACATTTAATTATAAAGGGAAAAATAAAAACCGAAAGCAGAAATCAATTTCCGTTTTAAATCAAAACAATGGCGGTAAACTTAGAAAAAAAAAAATGTAAACCAAAATCAAGGTTTTTTTTTTTAACGTTGGTAAGATTTTTGGCATTTTAATGCTACCAATAGTAAAAAAAAAATTTTTTTTTTTTTCCTTTTCAGATAATTTATTGGTGTCATCCAAACTCCAAAGCATTTCCGGCACCTATTTCCGAACGAAACACATCGAGATTCATAATAAACAATCGTAAAAAGTTCCTCTTTAATAAACCTTTCATCGAAATGTACACCAAAGCAGAATCGGTCGATAGGGAAACCATGAAATTTTCCGATGAACCTCATCGGACCAGTCGTCATCGCGATTATCCAATCGTTGAAGAATCGTTTATCGAAAAAAATTATCGTGAAACGTTTGAAAATTATGAAAAATATTTAACGAGAAACAAATGGACGAATGCTCACAGTGAAATTAGTTACAGTGTTAATTTGAAAGAACAAACGAGTCGAAACGAGGACGATGACAATTCCGACAGGCGAACAAACGACAATCGTTTGAAAAATGAAGGTTCGGAAAAAAAATTATACGCGAATGAAAATAGTGATTATGATTTTAGGACAAAAGATTTTATTGTGCCTGAATTGGTGACGACGACAACTTTTGAACCTCAAACAACCGAAATTATTTACACACCTACAACAACAACATTTAATACGGAAAAAGAACACGAACAACCGAGTACAGGTTTTTTTTTCAATTCAACAAAACAAGAAAATTTAGTTCCAAAAAAATCCGAGTCAATGTCAACAACAATACCAACGTTTCCTTGGATAAATAACGAAAAAGTGCAAAATGATAATGATAATAACCCGACAACCGCAAACCCTCAATCCAACGATAATAATATAACTGATATCAAATTTGATACATCTAATCATAGGCAACAAGTCGACGATGAGGACGATAAAACGAAAACGAAATCAAATCATTTTAATAACCAAACCGTTAAACCAAAGATACATAAAAATCATCGAAGGGAAACATTAAACGATCACAGGCAAAGAAGCATAGAAGACTACGAAGAGGAAAATTATTACGAAGACGAAGAAGTTGATTACGAAGAAGAAGAAGAGGAGAGAGAAGGAGAAGAAGAAGCAGAAAAACACTACGAAGAAGATGAAAAGGAGTACGAGGAAGATGAAAAGCAGTATGAAGAAGACGAAAAGCAGTACGAGGAAGATGAAAAGGGATTTGACGAAGACAAGGAAAATGACGAACAAAAGGAACGTGACGAAGAGGAAAAACGATTAGAAAAAGAAGAAGAAAGACGAGTAAAGGAAGAGGAAAAACGATTCGAAGAAGAGGAAAAGCGATTCGAAGAAGAGGAAAAACGTTTCGATGAAGAAGAGAAACGTTACGACGAAGAGGAAAAACGATACGACGAAGAGGAAAAGCGATACGACGCGCAAGAGGAAAATAGGAAATTCAAGGAAACGGAAATGCAAAATTATCAACAAACGGGAGATGTCGATAAGAAAACGGAAGTTGACGATCGTAATAAATTTAGTTACATAGTCGATGAGGACAATTATCGAAAGTATCGAGTCGAAGAAAGGACAATAAATGGATTTATTGTTGGAGAATATGGCGTCGTTAAACGTGACGATGGAAGTTTAAGAGGTGTTCGATATACGGCTGACGGTTCAGCAAATCCACAATTGATACACGATGCTTTAATGAAGTTCCTTTCGTTGTGATTTTTTCTTTTGGATCCCCACAACAACAACCAAATAAGTTATTATGGAAAAATTGTCAACAACCTTCTAACGTAAATATCTCCCTCTCTCTCTCCCTTTCCCCCCCCCGCTCCGCCTCCCATAGAAAAAAAAAACATTAATTTTCGACCTTGCACGTAGATTAACTTTCCAATTATTCCGGATACACCCTGACAAAAAATTTTTTTTTAATGACAAACTGGAACGTGATTATTTAAATACGTAACTTTTTTTTCTTTTTTTCCAGATTTCATTCCAGACGCATGAAAAAATTTCAATTAAACGCAGGCCTCCGTTCGTATATCACAAAAGTGATTTCACTTCACTCAAAAATTTTCTTTTTCGCTCCTCCCCCCCCCCTTTTTAATTGTATAAAAATATATAGAAATGTAATTTTTTTTTTTTATAAATAAATTATTTTTTATATAAATTTTTTTATTTTTCGTAATTTAATTACTTCATTCATTAATAATTATTATTATTATTACCGTTTGTTTCTTTGTCGAAATAATAATAATAATAATAATAATTTTTTTCGAGCCCTGACATTTTCAAAAAAAAATTCATTCATTTTTATTTAGTTTTTTTTATTTTTATTATTTATTATCATCTCTCTCTCTCTTTCTCACTGCTACCACGTCGTAAAATTACGTGGCAGGAAAAGGAAAAGAAAAAAAAATTACAAAATAAAGACGGTAAAAAAAAAAGTTTTAAAATGGCGTCCTTCTTAACTCTTCTATCTTTTTTTTTTTTTTCTTAGTTTTTTACCCTTTACCTGTTTTAGAACAAACAGAAAATTCTAAACGAGGGGGGCGTTCCTTTTAACGTTCGTAAATTTCCATTCAGTTCGTTTTACTTCTTATTTTTCTTTTTTCCTTTAGTTTCCGTTCGTTTTTTGTTCCATTTAATAATAATAATAATAATATAAGGAGAGAGAGAGGGAGAGAGAACCTTCTATTAATATTTTAAAGGTCTCAGGTGACGCGCTTCACCGTCTCCGCCCAATTTGCAACAAGTTAACCCGTGTTTCAAATTTCAAATTATACGTTATACCTTTCACTATACAATTTTTTCATTTTTTTTTTTTGGGCGTTTCCGGTGCCTTTTTCCCCCCTTCCCCCCATCTTTTCCCTTTTCTATTCGTCTTCAAGACATTTTTCTTACAAGTAGAGTCAATTCGTTCTCACAGACATTTTTTTTTTCTTAACGTTTTTTTTTTTTTTTTTTTCTTTCTTTATTTGGAATTTAATGTCAAATCTTTATTTAAAAAAAATTTTTTTTATGTAATATTATCATTGTATATTCTTACTTATATATATATTTTTTTAACAGGTTTAGTCAGCAAGATGTTTTTATCATAATAATAATAATAATAAAAAGGATAACGTTTTAAATTCAGGTATAAAAAAAAAAAAAAATTGCAACCTTCCTCCGCGATATACAATTACAAATATCCTAAAAACGTAAAAAAAATCTTTTTTATACAAAAGATTTTTTTTCTTTTTTCTTTCATTTTTTTTTCTCAGTTAATTATTTTTATATGTAAACCCCGTATAAGATAATAATGATAATAATAATAATAATAATAATAATAATAATAATAATAATGATATAATTAAAACAAGACGAGATTTTCACGTACATAATTTTTCACGCTCGTAATTAATTTACAATTGATTATAATCAAACTTGTTTTAAAAGGGTTGTTGGTTGTTGTTGTTGTTGTTTGTTGCTGTTAAGAATTTATGTATTATGCGGTTAACTTATACCAAATAAGAAAAAATAATTTTTTTACACGTTAATAAGGTGATGACGACGACGACGGCGGCGGCCATTTTTTTTTCGGTTAAAACCGTCCAAGTAAATTATTTTCGGTTGATTTAATAATACCTTAAAGGCATCCATTAAACAAATTTTTTATTTTTGAAAAAAAAAAAAAAAAAAGATTTTTTGTTGTTATACCTTTTTTTTTTTTTTTAAACAAATTAATTCGTAACATTTTGCCGTAATTGTTAATAAGATACAACCTAAATCAGGTAGAAGGTACGTTTAATTTTTTTTTTTTTTTTTACACAATCGCAAATTAATAATGAATTGGTTACGTAAAAAAAAAAAAAAATGGCGAACTCGAATAATTTTTTTAATTAAATGCGAGATTAAACCTTTTTAAAATAACCGGATAAACCTTTGATAAGTCATCGTACCTGAAAATTACAGGACGACAATTTTAAAATCGATTAATTAATTAATAATAATAATAAATTAAATATTTTTATCAAAGGATGATTTGTATAATTGCAAAAATTATTTTTATTCATAAAAAAAAAAAAAAAACAAAGAACGTGTCAACAGACAATTGTTAAACGAATCTCACACTAGCTAGCAGATGATGACATACGAAACGAGGGGGTAAAAAGGCATTGAAAAAACGGGGGAAAAGAAAAAAACCTGAACAACCAAAGTTTAATCTTATTGGTTATTTAAATAAAAGAAGGGTGGAGTTTTTTTCAAACTACCCTTAACCGTAAAAGGTTCGTCATCATTTTTTGTTTAACCTTTCATGGGTTCGGGACATGTTTTCCCTTTTTTTTCTCTCTTTTTTTTTTTTTTTAAATTAAATAAATAAGTAAATAAAATATATATACATATAAATTTTTTTGTCGTTTGTTTTTATATACTATATGCGAGTTTAACGGTTTTTTTATTTCGTCTTCGCTCTCTCTCTATGGATTCGAATACGAGTTTATCGCCTACGCAAACACCGGATATAAGAATCGGAAAACTTTCAGGATCCTCAAGTAAGTTTTTTTCTCATTATTATTATTATTTTGTGGTTGAAACGCAATAGAAATTAATAATAATAACAAATCGTTTTAAAAATTATTATTGTTTGTTTTTCTTATTGTCGACAACCGCCATTGTTCTTAAATTTTCACGGGTGATTTAAACTTATTAAAAATGTTTTATTTATTAATCGATTATTAATAATAATAATAATAATGATAATTACGTATGATACCTTTTGATACATTTTCATCTCGGTGGGAAAAGGAAAAACGTTTTAAAAAAATTACAAACCGGAAGTTTTAAACATCATCATCTGTGGTGATTTTTAATCGTTACGGTCCATATGTCACTATTTTCACACGGTTTCCCGTTTTTTCCCTTTTTTCCCTTCTGGATCATACGCTTTAAACAAATTTTATTTTTTTCGAAAACGATTTTTCTTTCGCTTAAATAACAAACAAACAAAAAGTTTGTCGTTAGTAGTTGCAAAAATTCCTCGCGTTTTTATTTATTTATTTATTTATCGACTCCCCTTCCCCGTTTTATTTTTAGAAAACATAATAATGATGATAATAAAATTTATAAATAATATTTTAATATTTAAATAAAATAACAATTTTATAAAAAAAAACACGCCGTCATGATTTAAATAATAATAATAATAATTCGAAATGGTAATTTAAAGTACCTGATATAGAAGTTACCCCGGGAAAGACATTTTTTTTTATTGCATGCCAATTATTATTATTATTATTATTGCAATGAAAGCAATTTTATTACATGGTTATTATTTTATTTTTCCTTCTTCTTTTCTTTTTTTTTTTTTTTGGACGCCGCGGAAACCCAAAAAAAAAGGTAACAATGAAAATGTTTTGTGAAAATAAAAATTGGTCAATACAATGGAGATGGGCTGTGTGACTCTTTGGATTGGGAAAAGCGAAAAGGGGACCGATGACGAGAGTGTGCGGCTAACACAAAGACATGCAACAACCCAATCAGGTACCTTCTTATAAGGTTCTGCCTTATTTCTTCACCCCCCGCCTCCCTTCCTTCCTTCCCTCCCTTCTTTTTAAAGAGTTGTCAATAATATTTATTTATCATAAACTTTTTCCATTTCTTTTTTTGCGCATTTTATCCAAAATAATAATAATAATAATAATAATAATAATAATAATAATAATAATAATAATAATAATAATTAATACGATTTGTGTTTTTGAAAATGTTACGAATAAACGAATTTGGTTGTCGTCGTCGTCATCGTCATTTTGTTTGTTTTGTTTAAACAAATTAAAAATTTATTAAATAACAAATCGACACGGACGTCATATAAATTCATCCGAAAATAGTAATAATAATAATAATAATAATAATTTTCTTCATGTCGTACCTCGGATCAATTTTTTTTTTTTTTATTCTATGCTTCATCGAATTTCTTTCCAAGTTAAATCGACATTTTTCTTTAAATAAAAAAAGTCTTTAAAAGTGTTGTTTGTCGGTGTTTTGTTTGTTCGTTTGTTTGTTTCCTTATTTCTTTCTTTCTTTCCAACAACAACAACAACAACCGGATCGATTTTCAACGTTTTTTTTTTTTTTTTTTTTGTATTTATTTAATAATTTTTTGTTAAGGTCAGGGTCAGATTAAATGTATGTGGATTGATCGTTTTCGCATTTTATTAAATATTATTATTATTATTATTATTGGAATTTTCCTTAAAATCTTACGCATTATATTATTATTATTATTTATAAAAAAATTTCCCTTTTACGATTCGAGTGGGTGATTTTATTACGGTAAAAAAAAAAAAACCTTTTTTATTTTTTTTTTATTACATGAAAAGTTATGACATTAATTGTAACAACCATTTTATTAACCTTTTAAACTTTTCGGCTTTTAGAGTTATCGATTGTAAATTTTTTTTTTTTTTCGGTGGTAAAATCGATCCGTTTAAGCATTAAAAAAATAAAAAAATTTCTTTTTTTATTTCTATTGGGTTCGAGAGTTCATTGATCTCTCTCTCTATCTCTCGGCCTCTCTTTGAATTTTCCCTACCTGAAATCATTTCTACTCTTTTTTAAGAATTAAGAGAAAATTTTCTTTTTTTTTTTTAATAGAAAAAAAGATTACATTTTTTTTTCTCCTTTCTTTTTCTTTTCTTTTCTTTTTGTGTTAAAAAAAAAAAAAAATTGACAAAGATGTAAGCATATTATTCAAAAATAGTACAAATATAGTAGTATTATTATTATTATTATTAATACGTATTTATCTTGCAGGGTGGTCTACGATTAGTTAATAATGATTATATTTAAAAAACGCAATAAACATTTTAGGTGTTAATTTTTCAGAGAGAGAGAGAGAATAAAAAAATTTGAGAGAACCCTTGTTTTGCCACTGAGAAGGTGGGTGTGCGGACACACAGTCAAACCAATCAAATTTGTCTGTTTTTTACCCCGAAAAAAAAAATGGGACGGGGGGTTGAAAAATCTTTTTTGATTTTTGACATTTTATAAATTATGTATTAGGGTCAAAAATCACAACTCAGATCGCTATTAAAATTCTTAAAAATAGACTCAAACGAATTATAAAGTTAATAAAATTATTAATAAATAAAACATCAATAATAACTTATTACATAACTTATCTACACACACCCTGCACCAACGCACCCCTGGAAAAAACACTTTTATTTATTTCTTTTCCTACCACTTGCTTCTTTTTCTTTTCATTTTCTAAATATACCTTACTCTTAGTTTCCGGTATATTATTTATTTATTTTACCGGATGTTACAGGTTTACTTATAAAAAAAAAAAGTATTTAAAAACTTAACAAACGAGGGTATATTTTATGTTCATTGGGAGGGGTAGGAAAAAAGTTTTAAAACGAGTTAAAGTTACTGAAAAAAAAAAAAAATTACCTATCAAGCAATTCAACCGAAACATTATAAACACTAAAAAACGTAAGCAAAGGTAAAAATTTTTTTTTTTTAAACCGGAAATAGGGATGTTCTCTCCTTTTTTTGTTATTAAAAAACAGATGCATTAATAAATTGCAAAGATTGAATATTGTCATATGGTTCCGGATAATTTTCATGGGTCATCTGTGAGAGCATTCCCACGGAAAAAAAAACAAAAAACAAATTACCAAACATCAATTAGAAATAACATTAGAGAGAGAGAGAGAAATACGACATATGTGATTAAAAACAATGATAATAATGATGATGACAATGTTTACAGGTCGCATACTTTATGATATCCCGTGCAAAGTATGCCAAGATCATTCATCGGGTAAACACTATGGTATATTTGCTTGCGATGGATGTGCCGGATTTTTTAAAAGGTCCATTAGAAGGAGCAGGCAATACCTTTGCAAAGCCAAATCGGAGGGAAGTTGCACCGTCGATAAAACGCACAGGAATCAATGTAGAGCATGCAGGTTGAAAAAGTGTGTGGAAGCGGGAATGAATAAAGATGGTACCTTATACTTTGATTTTTTTTTCTTTAAAAATTAATAAAAAAAAGGCACCTTAACTATGTATATGTTATTTTGGTTAAAGCTGTTCAACACGAAAGAGGACCCAGGAATTCGACCCTACGTCGTCAAATGGCTTTTTATTTTAAAGAGCCTTGCGACACAACATCTGACATCGGATGCGGGCCCTCTGTTAGTCCTATTCTACAGCATTCTCAAACTCACGTACTTGACTTGGCTTTACCGAAAATTCCCACGAGCGTGTCACCGCGATCGGAATCAAACGGATCACCACTTATGCAACCAACGATGGCTGCTGCCTTTTTATTCGGACAAACACTTATTCCTAAGGTGAGAAAAAAATCACTTTTGCGAAATAACAAAAAAAAAAAAAAAAAAATTGAAGCAATTATACTCTAAGTGAACGCGACCGCAATTTTCAGTTGACGCCAAATTTTACCCTAACAAACGCCATACCTTTGGGTTCCGTTGAGGCCTTATGTGAATCGGCAGCGAGATTATTGTTCATGAATGTCACGTGGGCAAAAAATGTACCCGCGTTCACTAGGCTTAATTATAAAGATCAGGTACGTTTTTTTTTTAAATTCCGATTCGGAACGCGAATCATAATCTTGCGGGGAAAAAAACTCATTTAAACCATTTTCTTACAGCTTCTTTTACTCGAAGAAAGTTGGCGTGAATTATTTGTATTAAGTGCATCGCAATTTATGTTACCATTAGAATTGGTAGATCTTTTAACGGCTCACACGACGGTTACTGCCAATTCGGAAAAAGCTTTGACGATAGCACAGGAAGTCAAACAATTTCAAGAAACTTTAATAAAATTCAAACAACTTCACGTGGATATACACGAATACGCGTGTTTAAGAGCAATCGTCCTATTCAAAACTTGTAAGATATTTTTTTCTTTTTTCTTCGTTTTCAACATGTAGCAAAAAGCAAAAAAACTTATCGGAAAATATATATTATTATCTCGCAGCTTTTGATCCGAGTAATAACACCGTCACGTCGAGTACGGCACCGTCGTCAAGTGGAGAAGGGAAAACTCTTCACGATTTGGCAGAAGTGGCAGCCGTTCAAGATCACACGCAACTCACCCTTAACAAATACATATCTGCGGCACATCCGACGCAACCTTTTCGATTCGGAAAATTATTATTACTTTTACCAAGTCTTAGATCTGTATCGAATAATACCATAGAAGAACTTTTTTTTAGGCGAACGATCGGTAACATTCCCATCGAAAGGATAATATGTGATATGTACAAAGCGAGCGACTGATGCTTTAGTTCCTTTTTAAAAAACTTTTTTACAATCGCAACGGTATCCGCATTTTAATAATAAAAAAAAAAAATAATAAGTTTTTATGTACCTAATTGTAAATAAATCCTATGTATAAAATATATATATATGAAAAAGAAGAAGCTAAGTCGTGTAAACTACATAACGTGCCTTATATACAATTATAGAAATTATTTTTTATTTAAAATCTATGTCGAATTGTTTTCAAATCATTTAAAAAAAGGGTGCGTCAGTCACCATCACCATAATCCCTCAACATCAGAACCTCAAATAAAAAAAAAAAAATAAAATAAAATAAAAACCTTATTTTCCATGTATAATAGACGATGACGATGAGGACGTCGACGACGACGACGACGACGACTGGCCGCCCGGCCGACGATAGATTTAAAGTAATTCCTAGAAGAAGAAAAAAAAAAAAAGGATTAAAAACTGCGGCGGCTCATCTATCCAAAGCCACAAAGAACCGGCAAAAAGGTAAACATCAAAGACAATTTTTTTTTTTTTTTTTTTTCCAATAATCATTTGTTCTCACAATAGAATTGGCTAAAATTAGAATCGGAAAAGAAAAAAAATACAAAAAAAAATTGATCCGTAAACTTTGACACGATAAATTAATTGCAAACGGGTTTTTTAACGATCATTGATTCATTATAAAAAAAAAATTTCGAGGAAGTGAGATAGCGAGAGAGAAAAAGAGAGAGAGAGAGAGAAAAAAAAAAGAATTTTTTTGCGAAAACAAACAACCCCCATTTAAATCCGTGATATGTTTTAGGCAATTATGTGTTCCCTCGTTATACACGCTTCGATAAACATTTCCTTTCAATTTTTTTAAATCTCGTGCAGCGTTAAATTCTTCTTCTTCTTCTTTTCCTTCTTATTATTATTATTATTAAAAATGACCGTTTAAATAATAATAATTTTTTTACCTATCGATATACCTTAATTTTCACGGATTTCCCTCCCTAAAAAAAAATCGTCATTTCGCTTTTCGCCTTATTGATGTTTTCCTGATTTTATCATTCTTATCAGACAAAAAATTTTATTGTTTATTTCGGACGTAAATTTTAGGGTAAAATCGTGTTTTTTTTTTTTTTTTTCAAAAATAATTTTCCAAACATCTGATATTTTATAAAGTTTGATGAACCTTTTTTTTTTTTAGGCGCGACATTAAACAATATCGTTTGTTTTAATTTAACACACGCGTAAAAAACAATTTACTCATTGTTTATTTAAATGATAAATTCAAATTTTTATCAAAGGTAACAAAAAAAAAATTATAATTACGTACACGCACGCAAACGCACACACGCACACACACACACGCACTGTTTATATATATTTTATTTATCTTTTGATGAAAAAAAAAAAAAAGGTTTCTCTTCAATTACTTATAGAAGAAAATAAAAAAAAAAAAATTGTTTTGGTAAAGGGCCCGATGTTAAATTATAAAAGAGAATAAAAAAAAAAAAGAAAAGAAAAAATGATGGAGTCGTCTGTGGCAGAAAAAGAGAGAGAGAGAGAGAAAAACTCCTGTCCTTCTCTCATCATCATCATCATCATCCCATTGCATTCAATGTAATTCACTTTCATATCTGATTTCTGACAGGTCTTTTGTACTTACTCTCCTTTTTTTTCCGTACGGGGAATTTTCTCAGGTAAAGATGGTAGGTACCCGCAGGGTATGGTCGTGAGTAAAGGGCATACTATTTTACATTTAACTAAGTAATATGAACCTTTTTGTCATTGAACTTTTTCGAATCGAATCGCGCACTTCAACATCATTATTATTATTATTATTATTAGAGAATCGCTTCTTCTTTTTTTTTTTTTTCCTATTTCAATGAGTCAAATCAAAATGGTAAATACCCCCGTGTGGCATGAAAATATATAAATAAACTAAAATGTGGGAATTTAATAAATTTATTCTTAATAATAATAATAATAATAATAATAATAATAATAATAATAAATGACAACAACACAATCAATCGTTATATCGATAAGGATAAAAAAAAAAAAATAGACAAAACAACTTTTTTTAAACAAGACAATTGTTAATTATGTACGGTGTAGCAGACGACAAAAGACTTTTCTTCTTTTCTAACGCATTAAAAAAAAAAATACAAAAAAAAAACACTTTAATATAATTTTTTCACGTATATTTTTTCGCAGATTATCATTATCATTTAAAAAGTTATTAATAAAAGTCGTTGACCTTTAAAAGGCTCGAGCCTGCGTTGTTTAAAAAAAATTTTTTTTTTTTTTTATTCCTTTTCTCTATGACGTTGTCATGAAAAGATTATTATTATTATTATTATTATTATTATTATGTCAAAGAGATCATAGTCGTTTTAGAAAAATGACTTTTTATTTAATACTCGTCACTTTTTTTTTTTTTTTAAATACAATTATAGAAAAAAAAGAAGCCTTTTTAAAAAAAAACGTCTAATTAAAAATAAAAAAGGAAAGAAAGAAAGGAAATTGCATTGTGGAATACGTTGACCTTTGAAAAAAACCTTTTTTTTCCTTTTAGTAGTTAATGAAATGAAAAATTTGTCGGTTCGCTACGGAAAATTGTCAATTTTTTTTTTTAAAGAAAAACAATGTGATAAGAGACCGTACAGTTTAATGGGAAAATTTACGAATACGATTAAAAATTCAAAATTTTCAACAACGTAAAAAAAAAACGCGGGAAAATAATAATAATAATAATAATAATAATAATTCACACAAAAAGTACTAAAATAAAAAAAAATTAAGAAAAGAAAATCGTTGTAAGTTTTTTTTTTCCGCATTAATTTTTTTAAAAAAAAAAAAGCACTTCAAAAGTTTTTTTTTTTTTTTTTTTTTTTTTTGAAACTGTTACTAATTTTTTAAGTGGTTAAACTTTATATTAAAAAAAATATCTTAAGTAACTTTTCTCTCTCTCTCTCTCTTTCTTTCTTTGGGGTTCTTTGATTTTTTCATTTGCGGTTAATAACAATAATAATAATAATAGAAGCAGATGTTTTATTTTTTCGCCATTATAATTAGTTGTAAAAGTGTGTTAAATTTTGCCCTATAAAAAAGTTAATCAAAAAAAAAAAATTTTCATTAACTAATTCTAAAATAGAAAATATGTTACGGTTACGTTAAATTATCTTTGTTTGTTTTACAACAAAAAAAAAAAGGAAAAAGGTTCCGAACTAAATAAATTTCTTTTTTTAAAATAAAAATAAAAATTACAAATTGTTTATAGTTGGTAAAATACAATCAATAGACATATGATGTCGTACATATAAAGAAAAAAAAAGAGAGAGAGAGAGAGAGAATGAAAATCTCAACTGTCATATTAAACGCTGAGGGATTTCGACATCCCATTCTATTCTATATATATTTACTCTAAAAATTAATCCTTATAATGCAGCGGTGAAAAATCAAAATGGCCGCGCGTACATCAAAAAGCCAAAATAATAATGTGACGTTTACGTACGGGGATATAAGGGAAACAGAGGCGATATACTCCCGTAAAAAAAAAAAAAAAATTCAAACAACAACAACTGACTAAATAATATTAAAACCCCAGAATAAAAAGTAAAAAAAAAAAGAGAGAGAGAGAGAGAGAAAAAAAGGCCCTTTTTTCCTCTTTTTTTTTTTTTTTTGCCTTTGTGTCCTCTCAATGGAATATTCTTTCGTTTGAATGCGTCCGAAATCAACACATTCGACAACGTAGTACGAACCGTAATAATAATAATAATAATAATGATAATAATAATAATTGAGATTCTTGTCGAAGAGGGCGGTTAAACACTCTTTTACTCCCTTCCCCAACCCCTCATCACCACCCTCCCAATTGTATTTACACCCATTATTCGTCTTCATGTCATCATATAGTCTCTCTCGTATTATTATTGTCGCATAACAACAACAACAACAAAAAAATTTGTCAAATTTTTATTATTATTAATAATTTTTTGAAACGTCAAACACACGCACGCGCACACACGCACACGCACAAATTTTTCCTTTTTTCCCTTAAATTGTATTTCGAAGAAACATTTCTTACTTTAAACAAAATAATAATTTTTCATCCATATTTTTCCCAAATTATCATTTCAAATAATAACAATATTAATAATAATAATGATAATGATAATGATAATGATAAAGACTCGTTTCGGTATCGCAATTTTCAATTTCATAACATTTTTTTTTTTTTTTTTTTACAAATGAATTTCATAAAAAAAAAAAATTTAAATACAGGTGATTAGTAACAACCCTCAAAGAACCCGTATTTAAATCTACCCTTTTTTTAGCAACAGAAACATTTTAAACAAAAAAAAAAAAAAGTCCTTAAAGTTCAAAAGGTTATTTTTTTTTATTTTTTTTTAAAACTAAGAGTTAAGAACAATCGAAAAGTGGAATTTTGTTTTAAAAAAAAAAAAATTTATTCCGACTTTAAAAAGGTAACAGAGTGTAAAAAATTATGTTTTTGTTTTTTTGTTTTCATAACCGCAAAACATAATTATTATTATTAATTGCAACAAATCGAGTTACAAGATAAAATTTTATATTTTTTTTAAACGTGTTTTCGAATTATGTTTGATTTAAAATAATTTGTCGGTTATCATTATTTGATTTTATGTTTGTTTCGATAATGTTCCTTGTAAAATTATGTTTACCCTAAATTATTAGTAAAACCGAAAGAACCACTTGTGTTTTACCACCACGTGATAAATCACAACATGAACACCTTTATATATATATATTCTTGACTAAATTCATGTGAATGATTTATAAAAATTGAAAACTTGAAAATTTTGTAGATTTAAAATGAAAAAAAAGTGAAAACTCATGTTTTAACCGTTTTCATAACGGAAATGGTTATGAAAACTTGATTAAAATTTTTAAAAATGATGATGATGATGAAAAAAAGGTTCACGGCGAAATTGATACAATCAAAATTTTTTTTTTTTTTTTTTTTTTACATTCCGCTAATTAAATATAATTAATTAAATTTAATTTAAATTTTTTATTATGACATCAAATAAAAAAAAAGAAAATTTATATTAAAATTTCTGTTTAAGCGCCACCTATCGATTTAATTTTAAACTAAATTTATTAATCGGAAAATAAGAAACTTCTGGAAAAATTTAACAGATGTCGCATTTAAAAAAAATCAAATCACTTTTAACGGTTTTTAATTTCGGCGGCCATGTTTTTTTTTTTATTTTATTTATTTTTTTTTTTTATAAATAAAAATAATTGTTGAATAAAGAATTTAAATAATAATAAATTTTAATAAATCATTAAATACGTTTGAATAAGTCAATTTTTCTTCTTTCTTCTATGTATATATATTATGTAGAGAAATTAATTTATGTATATAAATATTATTCAAGGTTTTATCGGTACCCTTTGTTATCAATTATTATTTATTACCACCCACACAAAACAAAAAAAGGTTTCATAATAATAATATCGTTAAACAAAACCCTAGCAAAAAAAAAAAACATCACAAAAAATTGACGAACCTAAATTCAAATAAATTGTACCTTATTATTATTATTATTATTATTATTATTAATTTATAAGAGAACAAACAAAAATTTTCAAATCGTGGCGTTTCTTTCACTTTCTTTACATAATTTTTAAACCCAAATTTAAAATAAAAAACTTTTATTTCCTTTATTTGTAATGCCTAAAAAAATAATAATAATAATAATAATAATAATAAAATAATCTTCTTGAAATTATACAATACATAATAATAATAATAATAATAATAATAATAATAATAATAATAATAATAATAATAATAATAATAATAATAATATTGTCATGTTTCGATTACAAGGAGAACAAAAAAAAATTTTTTTACTTTTTCTTTTTTTTTTTTTTTTTTTTTTTTTTTGTTACAATCACCATTTTAAATAATAATAATTTTATTATTATTATTATTATTAAACCATCACAATGCATAATAATAATGATAATGATAACGAAAAGTCAAATTCATTAATTATAATAAAGATGGGAAAACAAAAAGAAAAAAAAAAAAAATTTATTGGGCGTGAAAAATGTTTTGAAAAAAATTCGTGGAAAAAAATTAAAATTTTTTCTTTTTTCGCTTTACATCTTCTTCCTCCATGCATCATCATTCAGTCATGGCCGACTAGTTAATTTTTCAAATTTTTTTTTTTTTTTTAATATATTAATAATAACTTATAATAACGATAATAATAATAATTTAATCGTAAATTATATATTTCTTTTGTAAAAAATATAAAAAAAAACAAAATCAAAGCATTTCCCGTTGTTAATCATCGCGAAAATTAATTTTTCTTTTTAATGGAAACCTGTTAAAAAAATTTGTAATTTGACCAAATAAATAAATAAATAAAATTTTATTAATTGTTTTTTTTTAAAACCTTAACCTAAAATGTTTTATTGTTTTCATTAACAAATAAATTTTATTATTTCAAATAATTTTTCATTAACGAGAAAAATTGATTTTTTTTTTTATATTCAAAAACATAATTTTAAACGTTCGAACAAACACAAAGCGGATAACAAACAAACAAACAAACAAACAAAAGATGATTATTTGATGGTCAACAACCGCAAACAAATCATCTCCTTTTTATTTTTTCCCTTTCCAAATTTTTTTTTTTTTTTTTTAAACAATCGACTCGCTCACGGGGAGTAAAACCGTAAACGTTTGCGAAGAATAAGAATAAGAAGAAGAAGGGAAAAAACAAGATGGCGGTGGTATCCAAAAAAATTCCCGCCAAAATTTAAAAAATTCACACGGTAAAAAATTTTAAAATTTAGATGAGTTCATTGGAGTACGCGGCACATAATACGAAGACAATCAATTTAAATTTCCGTTAACGAAAAAAGAAAATTTTTTTTTTTTTTTTTATCCTTGACTACCTACCGCCGCCTCCTTCTCCGGCGGGTTCTTCCATTTTTTTTTTTTTTTTTTTTTTTTTTAATTAAACCTCAAATGAGAATAAAATAACTCGTACCTTCTTACTATTTGTTTTCTTTCGATAATCAGGTACGCATCGTTTTGAAAAAATTCGTATCACTTTTTTTCTAATTCTCTCTCTATACACACATCACAACAATATGAAGAACGTAAGTATTTATTATTATTATTATTATTATTACATTTCTTAATTATATATAAAATGACGAAATGCGACGAAAATTTTCTCATCGTAAAAATTTGTGAATTTTCCAGACAATTTTCCAGGTTTTAACATTAAATTTTAATTTTTTTATATTTCAAAACATTTAAAAATTAATTACATCCGGTTAATTAATTAATAATTTATACGTCATCGATCTAATTTTTATAAATTTGACATAATATATTAATAACGATAATAATAATAATAATAATTAAAAAAAAGAGTAGAAAAAAGTTAATGATAATCACAAAAATATATCGCGAGAAAAAAAAAATTTGTTTTGAAAACGTTTTTAATGATTTTTCTCGTATTATTGTTTCGTAACCGTTTGTTGTTGTTGTTGTTTTCATTATTGTTTTTATTTAAAAAAAATTTTTTTTTTTTTCCTCGAATTTAAACAGGGAACGAACAAAACAAAAATCTTGCGAGTTTTTGTGCGACTAAAAACTTTTTTTTTTTATTTTTTATTATGACAATAATTTGATAATTGATTAACGTGTCACCAATTTTCTTCAGTCATTTGTTTTAGTAAAATCTTTTCATAATCGTTTGTCGTTCGTATAAACTTTTTAAGAAAAAAAAAAAATTTTCCTTAAATGGATAATAATTGGAACATTTTATAACCGTTATGAAAACAGAGTTTACACATTTATTTTTCTGTACGCAAGAAATAATCACAATCGATGACAATCGTAAAATTTACACCATTTTGTTTTTACAATAAAATGAGTCTAACAAAAACAAACAAACGATAAACGGTTAAAACGATGGGAAATAAAAAACAAGACTTCCAACAAACAACAATCAATAAATCGAATTTCAAGGTTAATATTAAAATCACACAGATGAGTTTTTTTTTTTTTAAATTGCACAGGTGAACCCATCAGGATCGAGGTTAAGGGTCAAGATAAGTGGCCGAATGGAAAACGTAAAATCGTGTGTACTAAACCAAATTAAATATTTTCTCATCCTTTTTTTTTTTTTTTATTTGTAATTTTTCAGGTGTAAGATGAGTTTTTTTTTTTTTTTCTTTGGGGGAAATTTAAAATTTATGAAAAAATTCAATTTCGAAATTTTTAATTTAATTTAAAATTTAACCTGCGGAAATAAAATAAAAAATTTAAATTAAATTATTTATTAATTTTTTTTTTTTTTTATATAGAATTTAAATTTATTCAAATTAATTTATAATTTTCGCGGTTTTTTTTTTTTTTTTTAAATTGTTTTTTAAATTGGCATAATTAATTTTATGTAATTTTTGTTTTATTTATTTCCTTTCTCTTGCGGATTTTATGTAATAATTATTGGATTATTATTAATTGTTTGTTATTTATTACAGGTCGTAATTTTCCTCCTCTCTTTGTTTTTCGCGAGGGGTTTTTCAATACCTCAAACCTACAGGACGACTCCGGTACCGATTTTAAAACAAATAAATAGACAAAACGACGACGGGTCTTACAGTTACGGTTACGAAGCCGCTGATGGCACGTTTAAAATCGAAACGAAATTTCCCACGGGAGAAGTCTACGGAAAATACGGTTACGTTGGAGACGATGGAAAAATTCGACAAGTCGAATACGGAGCCAGTAAAAGAGGATTCGAACCTGTAGGTGCGGATATAAACGTCGCACCTCCGACTCTCACAAACACCGTCGACAATACAAACCCAGATCGCGAAGATGACGGTCAATACAGAGAAGATCCATCCATTTATTACAAGGAAACGTCAAATCAAAACTTTTCACCCGTTAATCAAATCAAATCGACTTATCAAACCTCTTTCCCTCGGTACTATCAGCCAAGGTATTATCAGTCACCGGCGCCATTATCGAATTATTACAATTCTCAACCCCGATATCAACCAGTTCGAATTAACTACGATCCAGCCATATTTAAAGGTCATCCAGCAACAAACATAGACATCAATACTGGATCTTATTCCGTTTCTTATTCTACTTAGTCTCCAGATAAAAAGACTACGGTTAACAAAAGAAAAAAAACTGCCAAACGGTTCTTTTTTTTTTTTTTTTTTTTAAATATTTTCGTTTGTAATAATAATAATAATTAATTAAAAAATAATTTTTTTTTAATCAATAAAATACTTTTTTCTTTAAAAAATTTTTTTTTTATTTTATAATAAAATCCAATCGGGTAGAGGAAAATACTTGCAAGTAATATTACATAATTATTAAATCGTCGCGATTGATGACGTCATCGACGGTAAAAATTTTCTCAGCGACACGAAAAACGGGAAAACAATAACTAGCACTTAGGCGAAACCGATAATTAAAGTAAACAAAGGAAATAATAACGAATGACAAAAATTGCAGAAAATTATCGTGGATGTAAAAAAAAAAAACAATCAATCGAACATTCTACAACCACGTCGTTTAAAAATATCTCGCTGACAAATCACCAACACGCAAAAAAAAAAAAAAAAAATTCATTCGCGTTTTCCTCGAGTCCTCAAAACCCCCACTCTCTTCCCCTTAATAAATTTACCATCATCATCATCGTTATTAATTAACCGTATTTTAACCTATTTTACTGCAACACAAATTCAACTATAAAATTTATTCTTCGATTGTAATTAAAATATAATTAATATATTCATTTATTATTATTATTATTATTAATATTTCGTGAATTGTTAATTTTTTTTTTTTTTTTTTTTTAAATTTCTTAATATCCCTTCAAAATGAATATAATTGAGAAATTTTTTTTTTTTTTTTAATATTAATTCAGGTTAAAAAAAAAAAATTTTGAATTTTATTTTAAAAAAAACAAAATGAATCGATTTAATTGCATTTAGGACAGAAACATTTTAATGTTTTAATTATGTTTCATAAATATAATTTATACAATTATTGTTGTTCCTTTAATTATGTTTTTTATTTATTAAACACGAAAGAGAAACGTAAAAAAAAAAAAATTTTCTTTGTTTCATAACAAATTTTTAATACAATTTAATTATAATAATAAAAACTATTTTACGACCGACCACATTGTGTTTTTTATAAATTATAATATAATTTTTTTTTTTTTTTTACATTACAATGTTAATATTATGCAATATAAACAAAAAAAAATAATAATAATATTTTTATTAAGAAATCCAATAGGGAAAAAAATTTTGGAATTATTTTTTGAAGGTTCCCCCTGCTCCCCCCCCCGCATTTAACGCCCTCAATTCCTCGTTTTAAACAAAATTGGTTCCCATGGAATAACGTGGTAGTGCATCATCATCATCATCATCATCATCATCTCCTCAAGAAGCGAAAAATAATTTTTTTTTTTTAATGAAAAAACCAGTTTTTTAAATTTGACCCGACATGAGAGTGAGAGAGAGACGAACCTAAATAAAAACCTTACCGAACTTAAAAATGTCCTCGCTCTTCTTTAAAATGTATATATATACGCATTTTTCATTCATGGATCATTCTCGAAAAAAATTAAAAAACCGTTTGACCCCTCCCCCCACCCACCTACGTCACGATGATCCTCATTAAAAAAAAAAAAAATTAAGAGTGGAATCATCAACATCATCATCGAACCGGTTTTTTTTCTCCCCATATTTTACGTCATAACTAAAATTTCCGTCAAAATTACTACTACTACTAAAACCTCCTCCTCCTCTCCCTCCCCCCCGAAAAAAAAACTAATAGTATAAAAATATTACATTGATAATAATAATAATTTAGAAAGTATAAATCGCAAGAAAAAAAAATATATTTCAATGATAAATGATAACTAGTTAATTGCGTGTATCGATTAATTAAATAAAAAACCGTTAGAAGGTAAAAATAATAATAATTATTATTAATAAAATTTATTTATTTAAGTGTCGCCAACTGTCGCGTCTTGTAAAAAAAAAAAAAAAAAAGTCCTTCTCAAATAATTATCATTATCGAAAATCGAATCGATCGATCGATCGAGTTTTTTTCGTCTAAAATTTTATAGGAAAACAACAAAGAAGTGAATAAAGTTTAAATCATGGGAAAAAAATCATGGAATCTTTCTTTGGAATGATTCATTCCATAGCTGGAACGAATAAAAATTAAATAATACATCAATTGAAAAACTCCCATCCCTTTTTTTTTTGTTTATTTTTTTTTTTTTAAATGTTAAGAAAATACCAAGGATAATTTTAACACGAGAAAATTCATACCTTAAAAACAAATCGAATGTTTTAGAATTTGAATGCAGACGACGAAAATTATATAAGGAAAATACGTACATTTTGTTCTACTATTTATTATTATTATTACTTTCATATTGTTAATTAAATTCGTAACGGTTTTATGACGGTAATTAAATAATTTATTGTCGTTGTTGTTGTTGTTAAAAAAAAAAAAAAAAAAAATGGCGTTTTGTTGGTGACGGTTAGGAAAAATTTTAGGTGTGGTCATGTGACAAAACATACACAAAAAAAAAACTGACCCAAATAACAAAAAAAAAAATTATTATTATTATTTGTCGGGTTGTTCTGTTTGTCTGTCGGTTGCAAATGGAGAAATTGTACGTTAATAACAAGGACGATGGTCTATTCTTTCATCTTCGAACGAATTTCGATGATTCTTTCGCGTCTGTTACGATAAGTTTTTTTTTTTTTAAAAAAAAAATTCTAGGTACCACACCCTCGTCAAGGTCATCTTCACTGCTTAAAAAAACACTCTCAAGGTCACGCGAAAACCTGGTACCAGCAGTAGATACATGTGCACAACTCAAAAGGTTCTGCTAGTGCTGATACGAAACCGAAAAACAAATTGTTTTATTTATTTTTACCAATAATGATAATAATAATTTAAAGAAATATAAGTGTAACCGTCAAAAAAAATTTTCTTTCAATTTAAAAACGACGAGGAAAATTATTACTATTATTATTATTATTAAAATTTTGATAAAATTATCCTTAAGTGATATATATATTTAATTTCACCTTAAAAAAGGGCGGCATTTATTTTGCCGAAAGAGTTTTTTTTTAATTTTTTAATTTTTTTTGGTGAATTTTGATTCGACATTAAAAAAAAAAGAAAATTTTTTTCAATTATTTTTACACTCTATAAAAAAAGGAAAAATAGTAATTAAATAAATATTTAACGTGCGTAATGTATTTACGCGCGTTTTTTTTCTTTTTTCCATGTAAGGGTGGAGTTTTATTACCTTAAGCGTTCAAGGTAATTTTTTTTTTTTTTCAGATGCACGCAAACGCACGTACTTATTTATTTATGTACATAGAACGTAAGCCAAAAATTAAAATCAACCCTGTTAAATTTTATTTTATTATTATCACCGCGTTTCAAAACTTCCGGGATCGAAAATAATAATAATAATAATTCAATCCGATGAATTTTACCGCGAAAATGATTTTACAAAAAAATGTAATAATAATTTTTTTGTGTGTTAAAATTAAATGAATGAAGTGATAAAATGTGATTAAAAAAAAAAAAGTTTCACTTGTACGCATGCGTTAAATTTTATCATTATCATCATCATTATTATTATTATTTTATTTAAGAGAAAATTTTTTTTTGTTTAAAACGGTCCATTGTTAATCGTTAGATAATCAACCATTGACGATTAAGAAATATAATAATAATAAGAAAAAAAAAAAAAAAAACGTTACGTAACTCAAAGAAACCTTAATGACGCTTCATTTAACCACGTGACCTCGAAAACGGTCAATTTTAACAGAACCGGAAATGATTATTTAATAATAATAATGATAATATAACAGGGATGAACGATTTTTTTTTGTTGTTTGCCTTCTTTGTTTGCCTACAACCATTAAAAAAAAAAAAAAAATTCGGGGGTTAAAAGAACCAAAAAAAAAAAAAACATTAATTTTTTTTTCAATATTTTTTGTCAATCCAATATTATTATTATTATTTTTTAATAAAGAAGAAACTCCCCTTCCCCCCCAAAAAAAAAAAAACAAGTTACGTAATGCGACGAAAAACAATTTTTTTTTTTTTTGTTTTCGAATGAATTTACGGTCGAACGATTTCAAAAAAAAAAAAAAAAAAAAAATTATCGAAAATGTAAAATCGATAATGATTGATTTTTGATTATCGAAAATAATATTTAAAAAAAAAAAGAGAAAAAAAGGGAGAAAAAAAAAGGAGAGAAAAAAACAGGAAAGCCTTCGACTCGTTCGTGCGAGATTCAAAACAATGCTGCTCTTAACTCAAAACCTAATCATCATCATCATCTTTGCATCCCGACTGCTCAACCCCCCACCACCTGGATTTGGTCCTGGTGGCAACCTCCTCCAATCCCAAACCTGAACATTTCACTAAACTCGGGGTTTACTGAACAGAAATCATTGACACTGACACAACATGAATTATAAAACTTGATTCATATCCTGAATCCGACTCCAGTAAGAAGATTGACCACCACAAAATGACATTAATCGCTCTGGTAAGCAAACAATTCCTTTTTTTTTTTTTTTTCTTTTTCTTATCATAATTATTAATATTATTATTTTTTAAAACTAATTAAAAATTTTATTATTATTATTATTACTAGCTATTATCCGTAATTTTTTTTTTTTCGCTTTACGTAGAAAAATTTAAAATTATTTTTTTTTAAAAATGTGAAAAAAAAGTGTTAAATAATTTATTCGAAAAGTTTTAACGGTTTTTTTTTCTTTTTTAAAATAAAATATTATTTTTTAAACAACCGTTTGTTCTCTCGTTTGTTCGTTCGTTTGTTCGTTAATTCGTTTTATTTATCGGTTATTTATTTATTAATTAAAAAGTGATTGTAAATAATAATTATTTAAATGTAAAATTTAAAAAAAATTTAGTTTTACTGACGGATTAAATTTTTCTCTAAATACACTGTCAAAAAAAATTAAAGGTTTGATTATTATTATTATTATTACTCATTATTATTATTATTTACTTATGTTTTGCCTTTTGATAAGCAATTTTCATTTTACAAGGAAAAGAAAAATAAAAAATTTTCCAACTGCTAAAAAAAAAAAAATAGTGATAAAATAGCTAAAAAAAAATTTGTTTCGATTTCGTTTTATCATTATCATTATTATTTCGCGTTTTGGTAATAATAATAATGATGATAGTTAAATTAAATTACATTAAACGGTTTTTTTTTTGTTACCATCATTCTTAACCGTTGCACAATGAAAAGTTTTTTTTTTTTTTTTTACCGCGTAATGACAATAATAATAACAAGTAATGAAAATTACAATAATTAGTTTTTTTTTTACGACTAGGAAACAAAATAAAAAAACTCAAACACCGAATCGACAAAATCATTATTATTATTATTATCATCATCATCGTAATAACCGTTACACCGTCATTTTCAATAATGGTTGATAAAATTTAAAAAAATAATTAAAAAAAAAAAAACCTACTTTTTTTCCTCGAATACATAATCAACGAATTTTAAATAATTACCCAAACAGTTTTGTTTTTCTTTAATTTCGTTTTTTACACGTGACACGCACACGTATGCACACGCACATGCACACGCACGCACACGCACAGAAAAAAAAATAAACTTTTTGGGTGGGAAATGTGCACATTCATTACACAATATGGCTACTACTTGAGGTGTTTGAAAGCAGGTCAAATATTCTAAATATTTCTTTCCTTTTTTTTTTCTTTTTCTCTGTATGCTTTGGTTAACGAAATGTTCAACCATTTTTTTTCTTTTTGTTCAACGCAAAAAAAACCATACAGTTAATAATAATAATGATAATAATAATAAAATCTATCACTTCTTATTTAAATTACGTAATATTATTAAATATTTTTAAAAATTATTTATTAATAATAATTTATAATCGAGTGTTGATATTATTATTAAAAAAAAAAAAAAAACCTGTTACACTAAAATATATATTTCTCTTGGAAAATATAATAATAATAATAATAATAATAATAATAATAATAATGTAAAAAGAGATGATTTTAATAATAATAATAATTATTAAATTTATTTAATTTTTTATTTAGCTTCGGGTTAATAAAATTTATTTATTTATTTTTTTAACGTAAATTTTTTCGCACGTGATTTTGTCCTTAACCTCATTTTTTTTTTTTTTTAAATTTTTAACAGGTAAAATTTGTTCTCCTATTGGCTGCTTGCGTATCAGGCCAACAACAAAATTATGTCGACTACGAATATCAACCTCAACCGGTTTCGAGACAACCTACACAATCTGCTGGACTTAGTAGAGCAGCAGCAGCTGCTGCTGCCAAACCGACTCCAGTCCCAATAATCAAACAAATCAACAGGTAAAAAAAAATATTTTTATAAATAATAATAATAATAATAATAATTTTTACGTTATGCAAAGTGAAAGGTTTTTTGTTTTGACGAATGAGAACAAGCACAAAGTTCAAAAACTAAATCGACCATAACTACCACCACCCAGTGATCTTTGTCATTTAAAATTTTATGAAGCAATAATAATAATAATAATAATAATAATAATAATAATAATAATAATCTGGAGCCCTTTAAAATCAAAAAAAATCAAAAAGAGGTTTTCACAAAAACTAACCACACCTTTAGGAAAACGCATTTTTTTTTTTTTTTTTTGAAGACGAATGTTGTTGTTGTTGTTGCCTTCAGCACACATCGAACCAAGGTTTAAATAAATGCCTCGTATTTAGGGCGTTACGGGAATGTTTAAAAGTTCCTCTTTCAAAGGTTTTTCTTTTTAAAAAAAAAAAAATACACGTGAACAGTTATTATTGATGGGAAAAAAAACCTCACAAGGATGACCACAATTAACGTACAAAAAAAAAAAAAATTTTATTTAAATTCGATGATTGGCGAATTTCTCTACTGGAAAAAATGAGTGCAAAACAATTTCCTCTGATCATCATCAACGTGGCAGTAAACAAACAAAATTTTTTTTCTCTCTTCAAAAAAAAAAAAAAAAATTAACAAACGTAATAAATGAGTGAATGAATGATAACCAAACAAAATATTTTTCATTCTTAGGAAAGAACTTGACAAAAAAAACCACAGGTTCGAAATAGGATTCGTGTGTGTCAAACAGCTGATTGAGCAACCCCCCATCTTGACAAACACCACCATTCTAATTTCTAATTGAAAAACTTCTTAACCATTTAACACCATTTTTCCATTTACTCAAAACAAAAAAAAATGGCCGACAGAATTTTATCACATTTTCAAAGAAAAATTCAAAAAAATTTTTTTTTTATTAAATTCAAGGCTTCGACTGAATTTTTTTTTTAGGCCTAAGGTCTAATATTTTACGGTTGGATAAAACTTTTGAGTAAAAAAAAAAAAAAAATGACAAAATTTAAAATCAAATCAATTGATTACGTAATAATAATTTGTTCGTTCCACTTGTAATAATTATTTTTTGCCTTTTTTTTTTTTTTAAAAAAAATAATTTTCAAGGTTAATAAAATCGTTTTTTTTTTTTTCGGGTTGTGCAACAACAACGCGATAATTGTTAATAATAATAATAATATTTTATTACGTAATTAATAAAAAAATATCATTAATTATGTATGATAATTATTAACATTGATCTAAATAAGACAATTTATTTGATATTTATGGATTTTTTACTAGATTCTAACGACCTATCTTGTTTTTGCAAATTATTTAAATTTATTATTATTATTATTATTATTAACAAGGACCTTTTTTTTATTTTATTTTAAATAAGAGAGAATGGACATTCTACGACAATTACTTTTAATTCAATTCATTCATTTTGAATTAAACAATGTTTTTTTATTAATGGCAGGTTCAATTATTATTATTATTATTGTTTCTAAAGAAATATTTTTTCAAAAAAAAAAAAGAAAAAAAAAATTACCTTCAACTTTAATATTTTGTCTTAACATTTGAAAATACTATATATATTTTAAATATAAATAAAAAAAAATTAAATATTTGAATTAAAAATTCGTTACGGCCTCGAAAACGAAAACAAAAAAAAAAAAGAAAAGCAGAAGAAAATTTCGAGAAAAATTTTTTTTGTTAGAGAATATTAACGTACAAATATTTGATACGTTTTTCAGACACAACGACGATGGTTCCTACACTTACGGATACGAAGGAGCCGATGGTTCGTTTAAAATAGAAACCAAATTACCGACTGGAGAAGTTTCCGGTAAATACGGTTACGTTGACGATACGGGAAAATTGAGAGTCGTCGATTACGGAGCAAACAGATACGGATTTCAACCGGCTGGAGAAGGTATCACCGTCGCTCCACCGACCCTCGTCGATGAAACTACCGACAAAACTAAAGAAAATAGTTTCGCCGATTACGACGAAGACGTTATTTTTGCCGGCCCATCCCAGCAAGCCGTTCCACGACCTGTAGCCAGACAACCGAAACGTCCAAGACCGGCTCCAAGACCTGTTCAATATGCCGAACCTCAACCTCAGCCACAACCACAATATGTTTCTTACGAAGCTGCTGCTGCCGCCGCTGCTGCTGCTGCTAGGGGTGGTGTTCCAGTTCCGACAGCTATTCCAGTTCAACACCTTCAAGCTTTCCAACAAGCCGCACCTCAATATTCACAACCTCAACCTCAACCACAACCTCAACAAACACATCAACAAATACCCCCACAATATTTTTCTTTTGAACAACCCAGAAGTTTATCTCCGAGTCCAAGATTAGCTCCAGCTCCAGTTCAAGCTCCGGTACATGCTCCAATTCATGCTCCCGTACACGTTCCAGTACACGCACCCGTTCACGCACCCGTCCACGTTCCAGTTCATTCTCATGCCTCCGCTCCGACTCATTCTCAACCCTCTTTCTCAGCCAGAGCAGTAGTACCAACTTCTCTTTCTTCCGAAACTTTATTCAGACCTCAAGCACTTCCTGCTCAAGTTCAAGCTCCATCCAGACCGGCTCCCGTCCGGGAACATCATTCCAGAGCCGCAGGCGCATCGGGTAGCGTATTAGATTCTCTTCTTCAACAATACGCTCTTCCACAAGGAGTAGGACAACCACTTCACGATATTTCTTTCGGTTCTTATTCAAGTCAAACAAATTATTAAATTAAAGAATAGAATCTAGTCAACAAAGAAATCAAACCACAATTTAATTTTGCACTTTTTTATATGCAAATCAAACCTTTCAAGACCGACATTTAAAACGTCAT